GTTGTAAAAATGGCTTTGCCATTTGCCTTTAGCATAATAACAAATACTGTATTGGGTACAATCTTAATTGGGTTCCTGTGCTTATATCTGTTGACAGATGAGGCCATGGTTACTTCTCCTGGCTGGTACTGGCAATTTTATGGTTTATTTGGAAACTAGAAGTAGTATAATTGTCAAATCATAGAAATAGGGCTGGAAGGGACCTCAAGACAACATCTGGTCCAGCCCCTTGTACTGAAGTAGGACCAAGTAGACCATCCCTGACAGGTGTTTATCTAACCTGTTCTTAAAATCCTCAAATAATGAGGATTCCACAACCTCCCTTGGAAGCCTATTCCAGTGCTTAAGTACCCTTACAGTTAGAAACATTTTCCTAATATATTTAAGCCCATTACTTTTGGTCTTACTTTCAGTGGACGTAGAGAACAATTGATCCCTGTTCTCTTTATATCACCTCTTAATATATTTGAAGACTGTTACCAGGTCTCCCATCAATCTTATTTTCTCAAGACTCAATATGCCCAGTTTTTAAATCTTTCCTCATAGTCACAGGTTTTCTAAACTTATTATCATATTTGTTCTCCTCTGGACTCTCTCCAATTTATCCAATCTTTCTTCAAGGGTGGCTCCCAGAACTGGACATAGTACTCCATTTGAGGCCTCACCTCTACTTAGTAGAGCAGGCCAATTACCTCTCAGATCTTTCCTATAACACTCCTGTTAATACTCCCCAGTGTATTAGCTTTTATGCAACTGCATCACATTGGTGACACATATTCAATTTGTGATCCACTATAACTCCCAGATCCTTTTCAGCAGTAATACTGCATAGCTGATTATTCCCCATTTTGTAATTGTGCATTTGTTTTTTTTCTTTCTAAGTGTAGCCCTTTGCCCTTGTCTTATGGTTTTAGTCAAATTATTATTAATAAAGGGAGACAAAAAGAGTGATATGTTTGCAATAATTATAGCCTATACAGGGACCCCAAATACAGGGAAATTTGAGTGAATTGGCACAATGGGGTTGCATTGCCCAATTTACCGCACAATGGAACAAACATTACATGAGGTTGCTGGTAACAAGCAGGTGTTTTTGATTTTACAATACGCTGAAGGCTTGATCTCAGAACAAGAAACATTGTTCACCTAAGGAACTATTCTGGTGTGTTGCTACTTCAGCATGGAATGAGAGGTTAGTTAGTAGCTATTTGTCTAGGCACGTTGAGTTGTGGACTCAGCAAGGGATTGTTTAGACGGTGAATCCTTATAAAAAGGTCTTTTCAGAAGCAGTGCTATGTATATAGGCTTCTGAAGAGTTTATTTGGTTGCCAATACCTGTGTCTTTAAGAAACAGTTTCTCTTTAGTCCCTCACTGTACACCACTAGAGAGATGTTTTCTTTAAATTTGAAATAGAGATTTGCCTTTATTTCAAAGCTTTGTTCTCTTCTTTGTAGAAAGCCAAGGCACTTCCTGGTGCTATGTTGTGTGAGAAGCGGATTAAAGACGTGGTCCCTAATGACAACTGGCTGGAATGGATAGCTTAGTAATGCAAGCATAAGTAGAATACCTAACCTCCACTGAACAGATTCAAATACCAGCTGTATCAAGTCAACCCTTTATCCTTCTGATGTAAACAAACAGACTACCGTGCAGTTTACTATGTGGCGGGTCAGGACTTTGATTTTATTTTTCATCTGAAAGACAGCAATCTCCCTAGTGCTCTGCTGTGGTTTTGTTTTCTCTGTATATTCATAGAGCTGTTGTTAGAAACTATGCTTGCTCCAATAACATGGCACTTAGTTTAGCAGCAGCGGATGTTCTTAGTAACTTCAATCCCACGATAAATAATGTATGTATTGATCACTTTATTTATAATAGGAATGACTCAACAAGACTTTCAAGTTAATTATCAGATTTAGAGTATTTCTAACAAATATCTTTTTGGCGTAAAATCTCATTATAAATGTAAAAAATTATTTTAAAATTGATCCTTAAAGGGATTTAATAATGTCAACTTGTTGCTAGTTACATTATTAAAATAGGAAAAAGTTGGTTTCTAACTCCCATTATTTCTGCACTGTCAAGGGATAACCTTGCAGCATTAAAGTGTGCAATTTGTTGTAATATAAGAATAACTGAGGCTTTGTATAAAACCTGCTTAAGACTTCACATCCTATTTATTTCTTATAGATTTCTTTTGAAGGGCCAGAATGAACATCTAGAGGCCAGTACTTCCTCTGTGATATTCCCACCATTTGACCAGGAAAATATTGATTATTTGAAGTACATTATTAGTACTGCATTTCAAAGTTCAGACCAGCACAGCAGTAACAATGTACTAAAAGCAGTAGTTAGTATTTTGGATCCTATTGTAACATTCTTCAGTAAATCTTTGCAGAAGTGAGGAGTATGTGCTTAACTTTATTCTTATGAGAAATGCTTCTATGGGACTACTCACAAGAGTAAAGTTAAGCGTGTGTGTAAATCTTTGCAGGGTTGGGACTATAGTGAACATTTGTATGGTGAGTCATGGGTGTCTGTAGAACTTTACAAAGAGAATAAATTTAAGGACCTACAATACTTTTTTTTTCTTTAAATATATCTTTTTCTTCTCCTCTTCATCTATCCCACTTGTCTAATTAAATCTTGCTCCTGCAGCTGGATCTGCATGGACGTCTCATGGATCTAGGTGCAGGATCATGGTCTTAAGACTGTAAGTCTTTTGGAGAGGGGGCTTGTTGTCTTGTTTGTCTGTAAGGAAACTAACACACCTTTTGGCTGATATACTCTGTGGTAAGCGAGACTAAAACTCTGGTGCAAGACCTGTGGACTTATGACAGGCTGGTGCTGAATTCTGTGGCGGTCTAGAATGTAGAAGGTTTTACTGAATGAGGAGCAGAAAGCACCACAAGAGTGAGTGTTGTCATATATCTGGCAATGGCAGGAAATAGCAGAAATCTCACAAAAATGCTTATTTTGTGAGCTTGCTGGCCTAAATTTGCAGACAGAAGAGATGTAGATTGTTCTGGAATAAGCAGCTGAATTTCTGGAGCCTTAGCTGAAACAAGCCCAACTCCAACTTTTTATGGTTCACATGTCTCTATATTGAATAACATGTCCCCTCTATTAAAAGCAACTGTGATGTACAGTGGTTTATTGGTTTATATTCACACCATAGATTGTGTTGAAAAAACTTTCCAGTGCAGACAAGGTAGGTTCACTTCGGTTTTTTTACACTGCAGAGTGTGCAACTCCAGAATGAGGCAGGGTCAAACAAAACCGGTATAATGGAGCTCCAGCATGAGAGACTCCCAAACTCACACAGATGTACCAAGCCAAAAAAATAATAAAATGGTGTAAGCTTTTAAAAAATAAAGGTGTGTACATTACTGTAACCCAGAGGCAGGGGTGGCTTTTTCCAAAACAAGTTCTGCTGGTTTCATGTGACTATTTAATATACTCTAGTGTTCAAGAAAGATAATTCTTGTTCTTCAGAAACTGCCACGCTACTTTGCAGTGGGAGGCAGCATGATCTGTTTACTGGTGCAGAGTAGGAGACAGAGTAGGAGACAGTTTTTGACAGAGGATGACAATGACATTTTGGCGAAGTGGAAATACTCGCTTTCCATTCCTCTACTTGTAAATGTAAATGCTCTTCCCATGTGACCTAACCTTTACCACTTTACTTATCACTCCTCACACCACTTGGAACCCATCACATGCCATAAATGATCAGAAAGATGCCCAGGGGATAGGTAGCTGGCATTGGGAAGAAGAGGAAGGGTATAGACAGATGTTAAAGAGGATGAGCCAGGAGCCCACTCCCAGCAGACTTTTAAAAATTATTTTAATCAAGACTGAGGCTACATTTTAGTAACCAAATTAGTTTCAGTTTGGTTGACTGATAAACTGTGTTCAGACAAACCTGAATTTTCTGTTCAAGATTCCTTACTATGTATTTTCTTCCATTTTTAAGGAAAATGCTGATGTTAGCTGATTTACTGCCGTAAACAAAATAACATGGTCTTTTTTTTTATCATTAAAGATGTGTCCAAGAAGGTGAATCAGAGTCAAGTAAGATTGTTAAAGTAAAAAAAAAAAAAAAAAAAATCATACTGCTAATTAAACCTAAGAAAAATAGGGTCATTTATTACTTCTGAAGAGGGTAGTTTGGTATGGAAAATACTACCCAAATGTGTCTGTGGCCTTTGCTTATTACATTTCTGTGGCACCTTTTGTCCAGAAGGGTCCTAAGGCCCTCTAAGGACTGCATTACCCACCCCAAAAAGCAGCTGCCTTTCAGGCAGAAACAGAGCAGCAACACAGGAGAACACAATTTCTAGGGTAGGGAGTGACTACCTATTTAACCAACTGAAACTCCCAGGGAATATTTTTTTGAATAGGGATGGTACTACATACCAATGGCTTCTAGTCAGGTAGAACCCTTTATAAACGTAATAGACGCTTGCAGTCTGGAACATAAACATACCTGAGTATCTAAATCACTTCTAGTCTAGTTTTTATGACGCAATGGTGAATTGAGTATTTGTAATTAAAGGTGGAACAGATGGCGAAGACTTAAAGTATTGAATCCATTACATTAATCTATGCTATGCTTCCACATGAATATAATGGATTATAACAGTATAATGGAGTTTTTGCTGCAGTGAAACAGTGCTGGAAAGAAACTAGACCTTGGGAGATGTTTACTTTATGAAGAGCTTCACAGTTAAAGGCATCCATTATATTTCAGCAAGTCAGGTTCCATGTCAGTGCCAAATACCAATCATATGACCAGTTCAGTATAAAGAATGGTGTTTCTTCCTGCCAATACATTTCACGTGTATGTCCATGCTAGTCTAAGCTGCATTCAACTTCCACTATATACCTTTAGTTGTCATATAGAAACTGCATATTAAAACAAATCAGGCAGATATTAACAAACTCTCTCTTTTAATGTCTACTAATGAAGATAATAACTTTAAAGGACTCAGCCATATTTAAGAATGTTCAAACTTTAATCAGAAGCACAGAGTTATCTCCTTGATAGAAAGAAAAGGATTTAGAAGATAGATGAAATCTCTTCCAAGGGCCAGACTGGCCCATAGCTGAAATCATGTCATCACAATACTCCAAGAAGATGGTATTTGGGAAGGCTGTTCACCAATAATATCCAAATAGGGCTTCTCCATGTTCTGGCTGGATGCTACAGTTGGATGGCTACCAATCCTGAATGCTCATTGCAGCTGCCTTATGTGTAACTCAAATGCATATGAGGTGGGGTTTTCAAGTTCTATGGCTAACAGAGGAGGAAGCATCTGAAAATAAAGCCATGAATTTCACAAGTAGCAGTGGAACTGTGCTAGGTTCTCCGGGATGTCAGGTAATGTTTTCATTAAATGAGGAATTCCTCGGTGATATGGTTTTTTTGGGCACTAGATGCTACTGAAAAATTCTTGAGCTAGAGTGAGGTTTCAGCAAACGTTTCACAATACATTTCACCCAGCTACAGTTGTGGCTGGCATAATGCTCATCTCCCAAGGAACTCACCTATAACTGGTATAGTATTGATAAGTAAGGTGTTCTACATACAAAGAAAACTCCTCCAATATGCAGGCGTTGGGGCAAGGATAAAATCCTAATGAAAAATGGCATGAGACTGAACACACAAGACCCACAGTGGGCTAAATTATTCCCTGCCATAACGCTTATTCCAATGGAAGTTGCACAACGAATTAATCTGGTCCAATGATTAATGATGAAAGAAATTAAAGGGACTGCCACATACCCTATACAACTTTAAACTGTATTTCCTTTTAACTCCATCTGTAGAATTCCTATTATGTTCTGTGGAAATGACTTTGAGGTGACAGAGGATAATGAGACAAACTAACCTCTGGCATAAGTGGATGCAACTATAGTGCCATTGGTAAAGTTGTTTGTGTTTTCAACAACGCTGAGTTTGCCTGTATGATTTCATGTGAGTAATAATAATTACTGGACTGGAGTCAGGAGACCATAAGGTTTTGTTCTTGGCTCTCCCACTTATTTTCTGTATAACTAACACTCTAGTGTATTGGTTAACTCTACAGGGTGGACGTAGTCATATGCTATTCTTCCTGGAGGAAGAATTTCTTAAGGCAAAGACTGGGAAGTTATTTAAGTTCCTCATTGGGACTTCTTTTTACCACCCTGTCGAATTCTGTATCTAACAAGGATGGGCAAACACACTTCCAGAAGAGTCCAACTATTGGCCCTCTTTGGGGAAACTGACTGTTTTCAATTAATAATACCTAGCTCTTATAAGCTCTTTTCATCATAGAGTCTCATGGCAATTTACAAAAGATGTCAGTATCGCCATTTTACAGATGGGGAAACTGAGGCACGGCATAGCAAAGTCACTTGTCCAAGATTAGCCAGCAGGCCCTTGACACAACTATGAATAGAACCTATGTATCCTGAGTCCCAGTCCAGTGCTCTATGCAATAGGCCATGGTAACTGGAAAATCTTTAGCTGTTTATTCTTGCAGCCTCCCCCTAGCACCATGTCTTTGAGCCTCATAGCTGCAGTCCCTTTCCTCTGAGGATCTTCAAAGTACACTAGGTGGATGTTCTCCCATCTTCTGTTTTGGGGTTGGGTGTGTGGTAAGCGCACTTATTCCTCCCAAATCTGACCTCCAACTCCAAGAAGGCCTTTTCCAGACTAGGTGGCAATGGGCTTACTAGACACCATGTACACCCATCCCCCAAAATACATTTAAGGTAAGAAATGGTTCCCTAGACCTGCAGCGGGAGAGGTTTAAATGCTGATATTTGAGAGATCTAGCACTAAGTAATAACACCCCACCCTTCCAAATCTCAGCATAGTCTCTCATCTCTAAATTCAAATATCCCCACTATGTGAGCATTGTGTATAACAGTGGGTCTACTCTGGGAATGTATTGGTTCAGTGCTGGTGAGGAGGCGGCAAAGGATCATCCAGCACACATAAAACAGAAATTCCAAGCTGCTGGCTACACGCTAGTGATATTACACATTTGCCTACAACAACTCTGCAGTGGGGGGGGGACGGGGACCTGTACAGCTAATTCACATTCACAGCTGAGACAACCCACAAAACATGTTTTTTATTATAATTAGTGCCTGTCAGTCAAATACTTCCCATTTAAACCTATCAACACTTAAGAAGAGCTAGAGTGTCACTGCTGCATAGTTGGCTTAGGGCAAATAGCAAGGCGAAATTGTATGGACTCTGGTATATATGTTTAATCTTGCATGCCTCAGACATTAAATAAAAATCAATTAAACTGTTCTCAAGTGACCTAATTTTGATTGTTTGATTGCTTTGCTACCATAAAATCTGCTTTTTTAAAATGTTAGTAGTATTTAAATAGTATATTTTAATTGCTAGATTTAAACAGCCACCATGTTAAATAGCCATAAAGTGAAACAGGTACTTTTAATAAAGTTTACACGTTGGGTCTTTTTTAAATGTTCCACTCTTTTCTTTAGATTTCCCTTAGCCCCAAATACCTATCCTTAAGTTATGTTTAATTCTCCCTGTTTGGTTTCTTTTCACTATAAAGTTTTACATATTTTACTACCAAGTATTTTTCTTCCTTATCTCCTAAGGATAAAGACAAGAAGGAAAATGAGGGTCCTCATAATAAGGTACTCAGTGGCTTCTTCTCCCTCCTTGCAGTGTGGAGGATACACTACAAACCATTGCTGCAGTTAGCTAAATTGTTGTTACAGTACTTAGAAACTTCAAACTCTGATGCTACAGCTTTGTATGTATAGAATGAGGAAGCTTCACCTCCTCCAGTTTATTGTGATCTAATAGTTTGGGGAAAAGACAAAGGAATAAAGGAAATCCTGATTCATCCAGTCAGTGATGATTTAACAACTTTTCCAGATGCTCCAGTGACCTTCTGGAAAATAAAATAAATATAGTTAATAGAGAAGTTAAAATATGTAATAATTAAAATGAAAAATTAGGGCAGGAAGACCTGGTATGTGCTTCCTAATTCCTGACATGCCACCTATCCTTCCATCCCCTCTTTATACAATTTACATTCATTTTGCACACCCACTGAATGCCAAATCACTCAAATTTACACTAGTTCACCTCTCACACACACTTACACATGACGTGTAACTGTTTACATTGTTGTTGAATATGGCCTATAGTCAATAAAGGCAGGATTAGCAACATAGGAAACAGCAATAAGGAATACAAAATATCTATTAATGATCTGTTATCTTTCTCTGTTCTTCCAGTATGCATCTGTTTTCCTGGAGTACATTTTCCCTTGCACAGATGCATGCTATTGTTTGTTAAGCTTGCAGTGCTGTGCAGGTTCCTCTTACATAAGTATACTGATCTCTCTAATGGGTCATTAATCCATAAATGTGTTAAATTAATTCAGACATGCAAATTAGAGAAACATGGTTAAAACATTACTATAGTATCAGAAGCTTGATATATTTTTGTTGTTTTAAATACCACAAAGGCCAATTCATGTTATGGACTGTCAGCTTGCAAAACATATTTAACTACATTAAAGATTTTGAAATAATATTTCAGAACACAAAAAGTCTATAAACTGAGCAAGCCTTTTTATTTCTAAGAATTACACACACACCTAAACAATTTATGTATTAAAAATACTCCTTCTTGTCTGAGACAAGTTTCAACATAGAGTGAACTCTTATGGTTCACTCGAATAAAAAAAAAAAAAATAGATGGACAATTAACCGTAGCATTCCCTGCAGATACTGTAATACCACAGCTGAAACAAGAACTTGGTTATATTCTGCATACATACTGGAAATATATTCCTTCTCCCTTTTAACATTAACTTTATTGTTATTACATGTTTCCCAGACCCGTTTATCAATAAAAAGCTGATGTAGCTGTGAAACAATGCGCTGTAGAAACCTATTGTTTAAAGTTTCACACCTATCCCAATGTCTTTGTTCATAGTTCATATAAGGAAAATGTTTTCCACCTTGCAACTGGTTTCCCTTAAAATGATAAAGTATTAAAAATGAACTAAAATGACCATCTTGGCTGTTCCAATTCAGGAATTTTCCGTGAGCCAAATAATTTTTACTGAGTGTTACACCAAGAGTAAGTTATCTTAACAATTGTTTACTCCAAGAGCATGAATATTTTCAATACATAAATGTCTGCAATTAATTTCTTTTATTTTCAGAAACTACAACGAAAATAGTAAGTACAACCCTAATGAGCAAAGGATGTGTGCAGCTCACCATCCAAAATAATAAACAAGAAAACACAAGAGGCCAGGTTTTTAACCCTGACATCTGATTTTGTGTACCCACTTTTGTAAAGTGCACGTATGTCAGCCTTGCATATGCAAACAATCTATAAATGGGGTAGCTGGCCATTAAAATGCCCAATCTGCATGTGCAAAATGCATACACAACCACATATGCAGTCACAATAAATTGTTTGGAAAAAATGGGTGCTAAAATTAAACAGACAGAAAATTTGGCCCACATTACCCTAAAGCATCTGAACACATCAAATGATCCATTATTATCTGGTACACTATTACAGAAGTCTTAAATCATCTTCTATCAGAGAAAAGAGTAACAGGCTCTTACAGAAATGCCAGACTAATTAATGACCTTTAGCCAATCTTAGATCAGCTGGACATCCAGTAGTGATAGGTGTACAGATTTTATACATAATACTGGAAGGAGCCTAATGTTGGTACTTAGCCTTCAAAAATAAGTTTTGTGTGTTTCAGATTTCATAAAAGTTTAATGTAGCTTCATTTATATAAGCAATTTTAGGACCAATGCATTCTAAAGTAATTTCCTGGAGAATAACCATATATTACGTGAAGTCTATACAATTTTCTGCAGAATTATCCAAATATCTTCATTTATGAAAGATTAAATAGAAAAGCACAGATTTTACTGTACTGTGATTCTGCAGTCTCTCAAGCTTCATGTTTCTACACTGCTTATTCTACATCCGGCAGATTGGTTTTATTTTCACTTTGTGTATTTCCAGTATTCTAGAAAATAAATTGATAAGGAACGTTAGTTGATTGGCTATTCATTCTTACATCTATTCAGTTTTATATTAACACTGTTTCTCTGCTAACAGTTTTTGCATTGCAGCACTAACTGCTAAAAGCCGTCAGATTTGTGAATCAATGAAAAATGATGCCTTTAACCATGCCCCAAACTCCTCTTCACTAGTGTGAATAGCTACTAGAGACCCAAGCAGTGTACTCTCTTATTTCTCATTTCCTCCATCAGATCCTAGCTGATGATGAAGATTAAAGCCCTTGACATTCAAGACAGTGCTGTCTTTTGTTTTCCACTTGTCCAGCCAGATCAGACACTTGGCATCAACTACTGGTGTCATGGGCAGGTACAGCCTATGAAGCATTGAACTGTCATCCTCAACCATTTCATTCAATGTCAGATTTTTCCAAATGTATAACATTGTCCCATAACACTCTATGATGTAAAAGCATATAGTTGTGTTCAGCTTTACTCTTTTCTTGACTCTTGTAATATTTGTGCACAAAGATGTTAGGACTCAGTTACGCAACAATTCTTCACAGTGTATATCCAGAAACTAGGGTACCATTGAAGCTTTTTATATCATTGAAGCGGCATGAATTTTCCTTTCTGGCACAGTTCAGTTCTCACTATGTAAATATACGAAAACTGAAAATTATGGAAAATGTAATCAAATGATAATGGGAAAAATCCCTAGGTCCTTAATCAATTTTCAGTTAGCTCTTACTCAGGTAAGTAGTAACTGGCTTTAGTGGGAGCTGACCTCAGTAAAAATGGAGTAAGAACCTCAGGATATGGCCTGTTTAATAAGAGGTGACATTTATACAGAACTTTTCCTCAATAGAGTTCAAAGTGCTTTATGAAGATTATGTAAGCATGACTACCCCATTTGATATGAGGGAACTGAGGTACAGAAGAGTTTAAGGTTATACTGCGAAATATGCAATACATTTAAGTTACAGACTTTATAATCATACACTTTACAATGGACTGCAAATAAATCTATTTTTTCAGTCTCTCTTACTGTAAAACAATATTTCATATCATTTCATAAACATGTGATCTAGCATGGTAAAGCCAAAAAGGAGGAGTTTGGTATGCTATTTGATTCACTGACATGCCCACAAATGTTGCAACCCTTGTGCTTTCCCCTATTACTTTTAAAGCCTAACCTGTTGTTGACAGTACACATGAGTTAATGGAGTGTCTAGCACAAGAGATGCACATAGGTGCTGGATCATATACAGGATTTACAGTTTGGTTCAATGGCTCTTAGAACCCCCACTATACAATTGTTTACAGTTTGTAAGATATTGCCCTTCTGTTAAATATTGTTTATGCTAAAAATGATCCATCATGGAACAATGCATTATCTATTGAAATCCTGGTCTTCCTCCACACACATAAATGGATTTCAGATAGTGCCTAATTATGATATTGAGATGCAGCATGTCCTACTGGAACAGAATGAAACTGGGAGCGAGGAACTCCTGAACTCTAATCCCAGCTCTAACACTGATTCCAAGTGATTCTTTGGGCAAGCTACCTGTGCTTATCTTCTCTGGGTCTCAATTTCCCCTTCTGGAAAATGGAGAAAATAATACTTACTTTGCTGCTTCACAGAGATATTCTGAAGTTTAATTAGTTAATATTTGTACAATGTTTCAAAATTATAAACTGCTACAGATATGCTAAGTATTACAACTGTGTGTAATTTCAGGTTGGGAAATAGCGAAGGAATTTGTTCTGTGTTTGGCAACTAGACAATCATACTCTGATCCTTATATCCACCCCCAGACATGTCTCGCTTTGGGGTGAGTAATTACTGTGTTTGGTTGCAATGCAAATTTGGAAACCTCTTCCCTTTACAAGCAGGGAAAGACGTGGATTGATTTTTGATGCCCTGCTTGAGTGCAGAGATCCTCAGACAATTGGCAGATCTGCTTCTGAACCTTCCAGACAGTAGCATTTTACTCTTACCTATTTTGATTGCATTGTCAGAAAATGGAAAGCAAGGAGTTTCTGTAGGAGTATCTGGGGATATAGTGAGCAGAATCAAGACTAGCTCAGTAAAGTCAATAAAGTAGCATCTGGTTACACCGGGTCTGAACTGGTTTATTGTGTATTAAGTTCAACATATTCTCTGCAGTCATGGATTCTGACGTAGATCAATTGTTTGCCAGTTGTAGTCATTTATCTTCATCTTAAGTAAAGTTCCAATTCTTAATCATGTATTACATTCTGAAGCAGTAGAGTTATATTTTCAGTTACTGTGTTAGAAATACGGCTAATAACTGCTATCTATTATTTACAAATTTAATTATGCAACATGCTTATTTGTAAGTTACTGAACAAGGGAAATGTATATCAGATACAACATCTAGTTTTTAATGAGCTTGTGATTTTAAGTTTTTATCCAATTTCCAGCTAGGTTTACTGAGACACAAGACAGTAATTTTTCCTCATGTTCACATAGTGAGTCAATAGCCCAACCCACATGATTTCTCTACTAAACAAACATACCATATTAATTTACCTCTTGTTTTTCTTGATTCTGATCCACGTGTAGTAAAGATGGTATTTTAGATACTTCAGATTTCTTTGACTCCCTCTTCAGCACTTTTACCTGTTTAACTTTTACAAATAGATACCTTATTATTTCTGCATATTGTAGTTTTTTTCCTTTCTACATGCTCCTTCAGTTTCATCTTCTATGTTTAAATGGTTATTTTTGAAATAGTGTTGAACAAGAAAACCAGGGTCATACTGAAAATTGAGTATGGAGATTACAGAAGAAGACAACCAGTTATTGTATGCTGGAGCACTGAATATGAGATACAGTTCCCATTTAAATTCAGACTCTGATCATTTTAATTACAAGAACCAAATTACGGATATGCTACTAAGGGTGTCCATTTGGCTACACAGCTGCTGTTACTTGAACTAGTCTCTAGATGTCATTGTTTCCCATAGCGACACAAGGTAGGTGAGGTAATATCTTTTCTTGGACCAGCTTCTGTTGGTGAGAAAGACAAGCTTTTGAGCTTACACAGAGCTCTTGTCCTAAAGAAGAGCTCTATGTAAGCTCGAAAGCATGTCTCTGTCACCAACAGAAGCTGGTCTAATAAAAGATATTACCTCACTGAGCTTGTCTCGCTAATAACCTGGGACCAGCACACCTACAACATAACTGCACACAACAATGGAAGATATCTTTGATTCCCTAGAAATCCTGATTGAAGCTCATTTGTCTAGCAGTTCACATTCGTGGAAATACAAATAAAATAAAACAAGCTGACAAAAAATTCCAAACTCTATTTTTAAGATTTGTTTAATATGTTAAAAATAAAGGACCTCTTTAAAAGATGGCGCTAACTTCAATTTGCAAATGAGGACGCTTGTCCAGTCCAAAGACTCAGATGAGTGCACAGCAGTGATTTTGTCCAATCTGATGCATTTTTTTTCTCAGCACCTTCCACCAAAAATCACATACTGGTATCTAAGTCTTGGTTAGATTAACCCTTCTTTTCAACTGGCACTTGATGCAGATTTGCAAACAGCAAAAGGCAATTACAATGTCATACCTTCCATTCCTTTCAGCTCCTTTTGTTGTGCTGTTACTGGAAGTTCTGGAAAATGGATGTCTTTCTTTTCAGATTTTGAAATACTGCGTTTCTTTCGGTTCATATTGGCCATTTGATCAATCTGAGCAGCTCGTTCATACAGTGTGACTTTTTCTGTTTGAGTCTAAACAGAAAATCACAATATATTTAAAACTGTATGTGACATGGGTATGGCTGTTACCTATATCTTTCTTGGCATGTTTCAAGAGGTTGCCACCAACTAAACAAAGTAAAATATATTAAAAGTTCAAACTTCAATAATGTTCCAGAAGCCAAGGTCTTCATATGCTAGAGGAAGCTAACTATGTATCACTACCAGTTATGAATCACCATTATGGGATAGGAGAACATTTAGAATTTTTATCTTTCAAAAAAGGTCTATCATAATGTAGCTCTGGGTCCCCTGCAGGTGGTGGTATTCAGGGACATAGGCACTTACATCAGCGTGTATTGTTTGCCACCTTACCAATTTAAAAATGAAGAAGAATACAATTACTTTGTCATACCTCCTTGCATGTGGGAATGGTCAGTTGACCTGAGACACACCAAAATAAAAACGTGTGTTATTCTTTGGCCCCACCAGCGTTTTCACAATAAAAGATAGGAAGTGAGCTCTGAAGGGAAATGAGTATATTTGTTAATGCCAAAAAGTGGGGTTCTCGGGATGAAGGTATGATTGGTAACTGGTCAAGGATTATCATGGAGAAAACCTAACAGTGACACTAGTGCGAGAGATGTTCGTGAAAGTGTAAAACTCTCAAGACTATAGGGCAAAATCCTGGATCCACTGACATCAATGGTGAAACACTCATTAATGGGTCCAGGATTTCATCCAGAGTCTGAATTTCTTTTACTCTAGTTTCTGGAGCTGCTCCTCCATTCCCACTCCCCTCCACCACCCCCTCCCCTTCCACCAGCTGGGAGTCTCCAGAAACAACTAGGCCTGTCCTTAAATAAGAGTTTCACAACATGGAAGTCTTATGTGTCAACAGGAAAAGTACAAACAGATAAGACAGTAGCATGAAATACAGAATACTATGGAAGAGAAAAGAAAGGGTTTAATTTTAAATGACCAGTTTTATAAACATACTTGAGCCAGAGTCCCATCATCCTGTCTGTTGTTTGGACCTATTTGTCCCACTGACTGCCAAGGGCTTCTCCTTTTCTTTGCTTTTTCAGGTAGCCTATGACAAAGAAATACAACTATAATATGCAACATTGATTATCAGTTAAGTGCTATATGCGCTCGTTATGTAAACAAACATGCACATTCACAAATGTATTCTAAACTAGCTTTGTTGGTGCGGGTGGTGTCTGGCATCTGAGAACAGACATATCTCAACACAGCTTTGGAGACTGCCATTTAATAGTAATACTTAGTATTTAAACACTACATTTCATGTTTTAATTATTTTAACAACATTAACTAATTAATTTTTACAACATTCTTATAACAGTGATAGGAAATATTATCCCAAGTGTACAGAAGGGAAACAGACAAAAGAAAAGCTAAGATTACTGATCTAAGGTCATAGAGGGAGTCACTGTCAGGGCAAGGATTTATATGCAGGAGTTCCTGCCTTGAGACTTTCCTCTGACTTTTCCATGCATCTATCTCCATCTCCCATAATATTCACAGATGCCCACCACCACGCTGCAGCCACTTTTACAGCGCTCACCCTCCAGCCAGAGGAACACTTGCCAACTTGTCAAAAGCTGAAAGGCTACATCTTATTTGGAAAAAAAAAAGCAGATTACAGGAACCCTCTTCTTCTGAAAGAACAGTTGCTCTCATTTTAATAGTGGTGTGGCCTGTAGAAATGATTGATCTCAGTTTGTCCTATCTTTGATCCAAAAGACCTGACCTGGCTCAATCCATGACAGGACAAGTCATCTCTGTGGGCTCCATCTGTGTACTTAAGATGAAGCAGTGATGTGGGCTGCACTGTGAAATGTCACAGCCACAGCTGGCCTTTAGCTAGCCCTAGTCATACAGCATATTAACCAAATGAAAGAATTGTTCATTTAACCAAACCATCACTAGATACGTAAATGTGGGTAAAAGTTAATTCATTTCAAAAGATATTTCTATTAATTAAAGAGTGACTGTCTATTCAAACACTACCTCATTATGTAAGCAATAGGCTCTAACCTTGTATTTGAGTGTGGGAAGGGTGAATTGAAATTTGCAGTAGTAAGGTTCCCACAATTTGGATTGATGGGTGGCATTGTTGTACCAACTGCTATTAGTGGAGGATCTTCCTTCACACCGCTGGGATCGTTGCTAGCTGCTGCAGTGGTGGTTATCTCAGTGACTGTAGGTTTACTCTCTTGAGGAAAACTGGGAGGATTCTGTGAGGAAGGAGCCCACTGATTAACTGCATCTTCTTGTTCAATCTTTTTTATTTCTGGAATCTCTGGTTTCCCTCCTTTCACTTTTGTACCTTTTACTTTTAAGTCCTTTGATTTTTTGTCCTTTTCAATATCCTGGAAGAGATACTATATCAAAATATACATACACTCTGAAACATAATATGTCACTTAATTTAGTCTGCTAGGTCCTGGTCATGCGAGGTGTTGAGTGTCTTTCAATTCCCATTGAGTTCATTGAGAGTGGAGAGTGCTTATTGCTCTGTAGGACTGGACCCTACCATTGTTTATGCTTTGGGAGTCCAAATGCTCTTTTCAGACCATCAAAGATTTCTAGAACTTGTAAATTCAGTTGTTCAAATTCAAGCATCAAATGATGACATCAAATGTACCAAGGTGGCAAGATCATTTTAAAATAAATAATAATACATTATTATATTGGTGTCCCAGTAGAGGGAAACATAAATTGTATTTCTAACACAAAGTTTGTTTCAGGCAGACTCCTTTGCCATTTAATAACTTGAAAACTTTTAAAAATGGAAGTGTTAATGAAAGGACTATTTAACCTGGCAGCCACATGTCAGAATAAAACTCTAGCTACAGCTTAAAATTAACAACAACAACAAAGAAGTTTCAAGTCAGTAGTTTAATGTGGGATTTTATTTTCTTTTTCCCAGCCCTATCTGCTCAGGGGCTGAGGTTACTCTGTTGATGGTGACTGGCCAGAGCAGATAGGGTACCAACAACTATACTGGGACACTGCAACAACAGGTAAGTGACATTTCCCCCATCTCTTAAATGAAGGTCTAGCAAGCTACTAGGACTCTGTTTTTCCCCATATTTTCCTTGGTTTGACTCTTGCTGTATGTCTTATAGGAGGACTACAGTCCTAGGGTTAATTGGAGGGTGGTGGGACAAACGAACCAAGCATATGTAGAAAACTGAGCTGCTGACAGGCCAAACAACCACTTCTATACATAGTGGCGGGGAGAGAGCCTTTATCCCTGAAATGTTCTGGGTCTACTGCCAGAAGCCAGCTCCTTCCTCGGCCTCCCTTCCCTGGATCAGCAGTAGACTGCTCCACTCACCTGCTAATCTCCTGTTCCCCAAATTTGTCTCTTGCCGGTGGTAGATCAGTTGGTGAGGGAAGTATGTGGGAAACAGAGGAAAGAACAGAGCAGGAGCTACTCAGGAGAAAGAGAGAGCGTGAGTGTGTATGTGTGTGTAAGCAGAAGCACCCGTCTGTCCTGTCAGAGGCTTCCTTCCCGCTGAGGACGCACCTTCCCACCCACAAACTGAGCCCTAGCACTGTGGTCTTCCTCTCTGTCTACCCTCGCTAGACCTAGAGAAGGGAAGGAGAGGGGAAAATATCACTTACCTGCTGCAGTATCCTAACATAATAGCCAACTAGCTTCTGGTCAGAATGTCATCAGCAGAATAACCTTAATATATGCCTTCATCAAGGAAATAGGATGTGGCCTAAGAAAAACAAAATGTGAATTAAATTTAGACTGCTGATTTGAATATATTTTTCTAACACTCTAAATGGAGTCCGGAATTAAAGGACCTATGCATACCTGCAAAGTGTAGCTAGGGGAATAAAAGGCTATAACCATGCTTTAAAGGGACATGCAGTCAACCTAAAAATTACACTTCAAGTAACAACCAAGATTACTTACTGTAACTAAAAGCAATTTGAGAAAAAATAATAATCTATTTTTTGTTTATTTTTATTATGACAGTACTTAGTGAACAGTCAATTCCACTTTTTATAACCAGTCAATCTCTTATTTAGTTTGTGTCGTCATTCACACAGCAACAGAGAATAGAAAAAACATTTTTACAAATAGGGAAGTGTGATTACAAAACCACAAAATTTGCCAGTAGATCTAGACTTAGTACTTAAAAGTACTTTTAATTCATGTTTTGAAATTGACTGGATTTTAGACTGATTATGTCCCTTTAATATAGTATGATTTGTTTCTGGAATACTGTGATTCTCCTACCTTTTCATCATGGGGACCACTTCATAACAAAAATAGCCTCTCATGGATCATCTCTCTCCTCTCAGCACCTCACTGCTTGGTTCTCAAATTGTTCCAATACCAGTGTTGCTATTTGTATCTTATTGGTGTTTCTGAACAACACTAATATTATGGATTCCTCAACTAATAAAGTGGTCTCAAACTTTCCTTTAAAGGCAGGGTATGTGTTTTCATCTGTCTTTGGAAAGTGCCTAGCACATTTTTGGTGCTACCACAATATGAATAATAATTTGCAAATCACCAAGAAATGTTCCTTGCTCCCTAGTTTGAGGACCGCTTTACAGCTGGAAGAATCCTTGGTACTGTTGTCCCAAAACATCTGTAAGATATAAATGGCAATAGAAAGTGTTATATATACAGGTAGCTAGCAGACAGATTAGAAAGGTATCTAAATGAAGTCACATAGGACCCTTGCTTCTTTCATCATCTTTTCATCAGATTTACTCTAACTACAGACATCTAGACTCCAGTTCAGCAAAGTATTTAAGCATGTGCTTAAGTTTATCCCTAAAGTTAAGCATGTGCTTAAGTGCTTTGCTGAATCAGGATTGACTGCTGAATCAGGATCCCAATGAATATATCAAAATATAAGATAATGGATTAACAATTTTGTTTCATTTTGATAATATTTGTCTCTCTGAATGTAACAGACCAAATTCATTCCTACTCTAACTACACTGACTTCAGAAACACAGTCCAATCTATTACAGTAGAACCTTTAGAGTTACAAAGACCAGAGTTACAAACTGACCAATCACCCACACACCTCATTTAGAACCAGAAGCACACAATCAGCCAGCAGCAGAGACAAAAAAAAAAAAGAAGCAAATACAGTGCTGTACTGTGTTAAACGTAAACTACTAAAAAAAAAGGGGGGAAAGCAGCATTTTTCTTTTACATAGTAAAGTTTCAAAGCTGTATTAAGTCAACATTAAGTGGTTGAAATAACAACCGTAACATTTTGTTCAGACAAACATTTCAGAGTTACGAACAGCCTCCATTCCCGAGGTGTTTGTAACTCTGAGGTTCTACTGTACCTCTATATTGTAGTTATACAGTTTAAGATGATAATTTAATGCAACAATAAATATTTTAAGGAAATTAATTCTCACCTTCCCAACCACTGGACCATTCTGAGAAGCAATAATATGAATAGTTCTCTTTTCATCTTTTATTAGTTCAATCTCTTTATTATTCTCTCTGAGTTTTGAAAGAGAATTTAACTTTGCTTCTTGTAATAATTTAGCCTTCAGTTCTGGTAAGAATCTGATAAAGTGAAATATTCTTTTTATTTTCATACATACAGTTTTTCCCTTAACATTTTATGGCCAATACTTAATCTAACCCATTAATTAACAAATTTACCTGCCAAATATCTCATGAACAGATTTATGCATGATGCAACTATATTTGGCAAAACTATGAAGCATGTCAATAAAGGACATATCTTTTACAAATTTGATTTTGGCTCTTTAGACAAAGGTTTTTAAAAATGTTTGCTAATAAGTACATTATGTTCCTTAGAAAGTCTTTTTCAAAAGGCAAAATTTATTCACGTTTAGAAGGTTCAATTTTAGTGTTGACAAATTATATACTAGTCTATTTATTGTTGTTCTAAAATTCAAGGAAACTTCTTGGCATCAAACATTAACAAAATCCCTTTTAGGTCTGACTGATTCAACATATGTCTCGCCAGTTTTGCAACATTTTTGATAGACGCTTTAATTCTTTTTTGCTAAATACTTGACACCAACATAATTAATCCTGAAAAAGGAAAGTTCACACTGATCTAATTCACACACTATTGTTTTGCATCATGTATAATTTACATTCACTGTACTAATTAGTAGTTAGTTATAATTCCAAACTGAAAAGTATAGTGTTATTCCAAACCATTAATTCAATTTCATGTTTTGTTTTGTTTTTTTCTGGCCACTAGAAATCAGTTTTGAGAAAGGTGGCTGACACTAGTCCTCCTCAAAACTACAACACAGAGAAACTAAAACATTTAAATTATTGTACACAACTGCTCTTAAGAACCAAACATTTAGGGCTGGTCTACACTAGAAACTTACATGTGTATAGGTACATCCCTCAAGGGTGTGAAAAATCCAGACCCCTGAGAGACATAGTTATACCAACCTAACCCATAGCGTAGACAGTGCCAGGTTGATGGAAGAATTCTTCTGTCGATCTAACTACTGTTTCTCGGGGAGGTGGATAAGGTGCAGTGATGAGAGAAGCCCTCCCTTCAGCAAAGGTAGTGTCTACTCAGGCTTTGTCTACTCTAAAAAATTAAGTCGGCTTCACTACATCACTCAAGGGTGTGAAAAATATGTCCCTGAGTGACATAGTTAAGGTGACCTAATCCCCAGTGTAGACAGCTGTAGTGTCTTAAGTGTAGACATACCCAGTGAAGCGCTACAGCAGTGCAGCTGCAATGGCACAGTTGTGCTGCTGTAGTGTGTCAGGTGTAGACATTCTGCCTGCTTCATTGAGGGTGTGTGTATTGGGAAAAATCTGTACATTTTTGCAATGTAAAAAAAAAACCCCATGTATATGCATGCAAAACAGGTAATACCACAAATTAATGGGCACTTGTGTGTGCAATTAGAGATTCTGGGCAAACCCCTGGGTTTCTGAGGTTGCAAAGTGGCACACCCATTATGCCCCTCCCCTCATAGAAACGGTGACCTTTAAGCTATGAACTTCTTTGTGCATTTTCTATTGTTCTCTATATGACTGATTCAACACTAAGGCTACATCTACACTTGGAGATAGGGGTGTGATCCCCCACTTGTGTACACATACTCGCACTAGCTCTCATTGAGCTAGCATGCTAAAAACAGAAGTGTAGCTGCAGTAAGACGGGCAGTGGCAAGCAGCAGCATGGGCTAGCCACCTCAAGTACAAATCCACCCAGAACTTGTGGGTACACACTCGGCGTGGCTAGCCCAGGCTAACACTTGCCACTGCCCATGCTACCATGCTTACACTACTATTTTTAACATATTAGCTCAATGAGAGCTAGTGAGAGAATGTGTATGCAAACTGGGAATTGCACCCCAGCTCATAACCTCAGAAACCTATGTATGTGCCCAAAAGCTCAGGCCTATAGTGTAGGCGTTGCCTTACTGAAGACAATGGAAGAAATCGGATCAACTTCAGTGGGCATCAGGCCAGGTCCTATAGGTATAGCTGGCTAACTATCTAAATGCAGGCCAGGGTGATGTAATATAAAGGAGTGTGGTATAACGTAAAGTTTTAGGAATGGCTGTGTTACTGATGAGTGATGAAACTAAGAGTGAATTATACAGGCTATCCCAGAAGAATGTTGATAAAACCATTATTCTGCCCACATCATCATGTCCTCTATATGTATCAGAGAAAATGTATTTTCCAAAGTGCTTTGGAGAGTTTTTAAAATGCTACTGGAAATATTGTTGGTATTCATCCACCTGTGAATCCAGATGCCTTAGTTACCATGAGTTCAACATACAAGGGCGAAAGAGAGCCCAAAAAATCTAAATGTGGTCTAAAACAGCTTTTCTGTAGATGAAAATATGACAGTTTTAAGGTCTAATATCTTGCAATCAGCTAGGGCTAAAAGTAAGAGTCTCAACAGAAAGATGGTAATTTCCCTTTCCAAGTGTATAATGATTTTGTTTCTAGCCCTAACAAATTATAAGATATCTAATTGTGACCATTTAAATGCGAACACTGTTAAGTACAGCCAATCACTTTTTTCACTCCTGCTTAGTTTAAAAAAAAAACCCTAGAAAATTAAATGCAACACTTATTTAAGTAATTTTAGCACAATTAAATTCAATAAATATAAGGAAATGCAAAATTTAAGATTTCAGCAGCAATGTTAAGTCAATTTTGTTACACATACATTGTATTACATACAAAAAACTTCATATGAACATTTTTAAGATTGCAAAGTCAAGCTCTAAAAGGTTAGGAAATGCCAGAATTAAGGCAACCTTAATTCGGACCTATTGTGCATATGTTTTACAATACAGTCTTTAATAACATGATCACATCCTATCTTTTCCACAAGTTTCTCATCCTAGTCCTACTCTCCCTTTCTGGGATTGCTTTCTGAGTTCCAAACTCCCCTTACCACTCCTAGTTCTCCCTATCTGCACATCCAATCCTAATCTCCTTGCCCAGCCTCTCACTCCCCACTATTCCAGCTTTCAGTCCCAGACTCTCTTCCCCAGCTCCAGCCTTTCCTCTCTCCCAGTCCCAGCATTCCCTTCCCCACAATTACCAGTCCCAGTTTGCGTGACCAGCCCAGGACTGGTGCAATCATAGAATCATAGAATATAAGGGTTGGAAGGGACCCCAGAAGGTCATCTAGTCCAACCCCCTGCTCGAAGCAGGACCAATTCCCAGTTAAATCATCACTAGGTGAACTAGGCAGTTGCCTAAAGCGCCAAGTGGCTGGGGGCGGTGGTGGAGCGGAGGTGAGCTGGGGCGGGGAGGGCCGCCTGCAGCAAGTAACGGGGGAGAGGAGGGGAGACGGCGCGCAGGGGAACCGCTCCCCGCCCCAGCTCCCCTCTGCTCCACCTCCTCCACTGAGCACCACCCTGCTCTGCTTCTCTTCCTCCCAGGCTTGTGCATCAAACAGCTGATTGGCGCTGCAAGCCTGGGAGGCAGGAGAAGCAGCGGGGTGCTTGGGGAGGAGACGAAGCAGAGGTGAGCTGGGGCAGGGAGCTGCTGCACGCGGCTCCCTGGGCCGAGGGGAGGGAGGGGGTGGTGGGGAGCTGCCGCAGGGGGGGCTCCCGGGCCGAGGGGAGGGGGGGAGCTGCCACAGGTGGGGCTCCTCAGGCTGAAGGGGGGGAGTGATGGAGGGGAGCTGCCGCGGGGAGGGGGTGCCTCAGGGCGGGGAGCTGCCCCAGGGTTCCTGGGGGGGGGAGGGGCGGGTGCAAGGTGGAAGTTTCGCCTAAGGTGCGAAACATCCTTGCACCGGCTGTGGACCAGCCAGTCCCAGTTTCTCTCCCTCCTCCTCCAGTCCCAGTCTCAACAGACTCATTGCCCCTTTTTACTCTTTTCCCACCCTGTGGTCCAGCTTCTGTCTGTCCCCACTGCATTTGATTCAGATGGCTTCCTCCTCCATGCTGCCTGGGTGCCAGCAAGGAGACCAGGGGTCACTGAAGGCAGGGAAGAGACAGGCTCCCTGCTCTCAGTATCAGTGCCTGGCCCAACCTCAGCCCAGAGCAGATGGGAGTCATTACAGGGAAAGCCCAGTTTTGCCCCTGAGCTTTGGGCAGGAGGGAACATGCTCTAGGAACTCTGAGTGGATGAAGTATGCTCAGTGAGGATGGAATTTTTGGAGATTTTAGCTACTAAAATCAAAGAAGTCTCAAGCACACACAAACTGCGATTTTGCAAAGGCTTATAACTTGCTCAGACTTGGATGGATTTTCACTGTGATAGCAAAAAGCATATCCCTGAGACAAATTTCAAGTTCCTGCTCTCAAAGCATGGGTGTGACAGCGCTGTTCAAAGAAAAAAGTTGCCAGAATTTTTTGACACAGGCAAAACAACATATTTTCCTTTGCTTCAGTCTCAGAAGCAACGGAACCATTTTTGCTGAAATTTTTGAGAAAAATTCAGCCAGTGGTAGACACCTGGCATATAAAATTGCAGCCCAAGCAGTTAAAGTTTGGCAATATCATAAGCAACTGAAAACCGGGTCTTATAATGAGAAGTGTTGGGCAACCTTAATAATAGACAGCTCAACCACCCCTGTGTATAATTATACAGTACTGTTTCTCTAGTTAGATGTGCAGCTTCATACATTACTATTTCTGTTCTTGACAGTATTTTCTGATTTTCTGTAATTATATCAGTGCTTTGCATAACAGGATTTCTTCCATTTAATTTGCTATTTTTACTTTTATAAAATATACCAGCTGTACAAATAAGCAAATAAAAATTACAAAGAAGTAAAATGTCCCTTGTTTTATGTAATATAAAGACTCAGGAATATTCAATTATACCTCATACAGGGGTTAAAATTCATTTTCTGTGACCTATACAGAATTAACAGAGATTCCTTTATGACAGACAAAGGGCTGGATCTTCCAGCTGGTGTAAGTCACCATAGCACCATTAAAGCCAACACAATCGTGATGACTTACAACATCTGAGGATCCGGCCCAGTGAGGTAGGGACGTGATCGGAATTTGTGAAATCACCCCTGTATTATGGCCTCCTTTTGGGAGGCCATAATAGCTAAGATTTCTCAGTTTATCTTGTAGAACAGTTTTCCTAAAAACCTCATGTTCAATTTTGGGGACACTGCCATTCTTATTCCCATCTCTGGTTTACTGTTGGCAGGTATAATTACAGCTGTTCTATCTTCAACTACCCTAGACCCACCAACTGGACAGAGTGGGCACAAGTACTTAATGAAGCACAACTTTCATCATGATCTATTACCTACAGGGATGTTGAATTCTTTTAGATCTTAGGGATAAAACAGACAGTAATTGAATGTTCCTATAGCTTCACAAAAATACACTTGTTCTAAATTATTACCCTTGTATATTTGTATACCATGTACTTCCCTATTTACTGTAGCTCTTACAAAAATCATATAAAATTATAAAAATCTGAAACTAGGGCTTTTTATGTTTTAGTGGCCAACAAAATACTTACTTTTCAATAAATCCATCTCTAGTAAAATAGTCATGCTGCAGCAGATCTGTAGATGAGATCCTATTAGTGGGATCCATTTGTAAACAAGCCTGTAAAATATTAGAGGTTATTTTAGAAGGAATTTTTAAATCACATACCGCATAATGTAAGCAATGTTGTTTATTACTGCCTGTGATAATAGTGTAACACCAGCTTACAAATAACTGCATTTCAGAGGCTACTAATATATTTGTACTCGCACAACCTGAGATTTGTATCCATACAGATTCTATAGTATAGTCCTCTGCAGTTAGAAATTATATCTCATTAGAGTCTAAAGCATCGTACAGGCATAACACTACTCACTGCCTCTATGCTCTAATCTGTTCTACCTGTACAGTTGAAAGCCCTGTATAACCTTATTCCATTGATTTTTTTTTGTCATTGCACCATGTTTCAGTAATGCCGATTATGTCTAGGTCCTCTTCTATTGCTACACAATCTAGTTTAATTATTTTCACTGTAAAGCTTTTTATGTTGGTACAGATATTTTTAGGAACAGATCTGTAGCTGTAACCAAACTCTGCTCAGTGTCAGATGGTTGGAAGATGGCTCTAAGCCATCATTATGCCCTCCTGAACCTTGGGCTAGCCAACGGCCCAAGGGCTACTCTAAGTTATACTGGCTGGAATGGTCCCCTATGGACTGCTCTAATGGCTGAGGATTTCCCCAGCATATTCCTCCTGCCCCCAATAGAGGGCTGGAGAAGAGAGTGACATAGAGCAGGTTCTGGCAACTTTACGCCACCCAGGGATTCTCTCCCACCGGGTGGCTCCTCTGCTTTCTCTTTAGGTCAGCTTTCACGCTTTGCACTATCAAAGAAGACTAACTGGCCAAATATCTGGCCCCTCCATTTTTATTTTTGGTTGTGTGCCTATGTTCATTTAACTCCTTACTCTGACACCTTGTTGCTATTCTGGAATTTACCTAACTAGTCTCAACATGACCTTCTTCTACTTTGTCTATAATTTATGTCCTATCCTTTACGGGATGCAGAGTTATGTTTGTATGACTTACATCCATGTCTTCCAGATGTCTTTGTCCAATCAGAGTGCTCCTCAGCATCTGTTAGTTTTCTCCCAGGTCCTCATTTAAATAATATACCAAAAGTGTGGTAGCTTCCTTTGCCAGCACTTTGGTTATGGTGAAGCCCATCATTTCTATATAAGTTCCTCCTTCCTCAGAGGTCCTAGGTGCCCAGTAAATGTAAATCCCTCTCCTTTACACCTTATTTTCATCTATGCACTAAGAGTCTGAAGCTTCTTCTGTCTCGCTGCCCAAGCATGGAGTGGGAAGCATTTCAGAAAAAGCTACCATAAGGCCATCAATCTAGATCTTTCCCCTAGTAATCTAAATGTCTCTACCATGACCACAATCCTCACCACTTACTAGATGTTGTCTCTAGATGTCTTGGGAGATTTAACACCTTTGCACCCAGTAGAGAAGTCACCAAACAGTTCACATGGTTGCCAGAGATCCTGCTGTGAATATTTCTATTACCACAGCCTTTCTATGTCTCACATCTGTAACTCCATTTTCTGGAGTGACCAACTTAGAAAATGGGTCCTAACTAATGGAAAATGTCCTGCATCCCTGACTAACTAGATGATCAGGATGAGTAGTTCTGAGATGGGTCTGTTCAACAATATTCCTATATACTGCCTCTGTAAAGACACACAGAGAGCTAAAAGAAATCCACTAAAAATTCACGTTTGCTCTCTCAAGTTTTGTGGATTAAAATGGAAAAAAAAAAAAAAAAGCTTTGATGAGCCGAAGTGATGCAATATATAAACTATACTCCCTCCCCTGAGGCTTGTGTTCAATGCTGCCTTTGATTACAAATGAAATGAGCTTGGTGGTCATAACCTATACCCTTCTCAAAATATATCAGTATCACAAAACCACCACAATTAGCACTACTGGCAATTTCTTCTCACAATAGATTTCCTACTGGAATTGTGAGGGATGTGTACAATGCAACAGAGCTAGGCAGAGAAGAATGGAATACTCCTGCAACACTATACCCGCTTTAGTCTGTGTAATCATTCATTTTGTGAGTGCTATAATTGATCCACTTAAAGAAAACTTGGCTTATGGTCCTTTCACTGAATGAATGAGATTCTTCATTTTCTTGAAACCAGCAGTATTTTCTAATGCCAAAGAAAGAACTGCTGTATTCCAACAAAATGCATTCATTTTTTCCCCACTATTACTCTCTGTAATTGTACAGTAGCAAATACAGTAATTAAACAGTACATATATGTAGAGTTGGGTAGAGTTTTCAAAAATCACCTAAGTGACTTAGGAGCATAAGTCCATTGACTTTCAATGCCAGCTGTAAACAGACCAACATGGATGGATTGGGTCATTAAGGGTTTGCTGGAGGAAACTTTGGCTTGTACATGTTTGACGTGGTCTAATTAAAATATAACTATGCAAATCACTATTGTTACCACTGTTATATAATTGCAACAAATCTTATACAAAATATAACTCATGGCCAGAAAGGGTTAAACAGCTTGCAGACTAACTAACCCAAAGCTGACCTTTAAAGACATGTTAGAAATGGTAATTAGAGCCATTCTATGGCTAGGCAGGCTAAAACTTTGAAATGCAAACCTATATTGTTAGAAGTTACAAGTGACACCAACTGTGTGTACCTTAGATGCTACCCATGTAAACAGACAGTTCCTGTCTGTCACTATAGCTCCAAATTCAAAGATCAAAAGGGAATATTAACATTTAGATTAATCTTGGGTGAAGTAACGTCATTGTCTATATGTCTCTTTGAAGTTTGTGATAGACTACCTAATGAATAAAAATAACGAGGAGTCCTTGTGGCACCTTAGAGACTAACACATTTTTTTTGGCATAAGCTTTCGTGGGTTAGAACCCACTTCATCAGATGCATGGAGTGAATATACAGGAGCAGATATAAATACATGAAAGGATGGGAGTTGCTTTACCAAGCGTGAGGTCAGTCTAACTTTCTTTGTTGGGCCTGTCTTGTAGTAGGTGACTTCTCAGTACCCTTCTGGCTCTGTCAATCTAATCTTCCGGAAAACACCATCCTAACCACTATGGATGTAGAAGCCCTCTACACCAACATTCCACACAAAGATGGACTTTGTACAAGCCATCAGGAATAGCATCCCCGATACCATCACGGCAAACCTGGTGGCTGAACTTTGTGACTTTGTCCTCACCCACAACTATTTCACATTTGGGGACAATTTATACCTTCAAGTCAGCGGGACTTCTATGGGTACCTGCATAGCCCCTCAGTATGCCAACATTTTTATGGCTGACTTAGAACAACGCTTCCTCAGCTCTTGTCCTCTTACACCCCTACTCTACTTGCGCTACATTGATGACATCTTCATCATCTGGCCCCTTGGGAAGGAGGCCCTTAAGGAATTCCACCAAGATTTCAACGATTTCCATCCTACCATCAACCTCAGCCTGGACCAGTCCACACAAGAGATCCTCTTCCTAGACACTACAGTGCTAATAAGCGATGGTCACATAAACACCATCCTATACCGGAAACCTACTGACCACTATACTTACCTACATGCCTCCAGCTTTCATCCAGACCACACCACATGATCCATTGTCTACAGCCAAGTTCTACGATACAACCGCATTTGCTCCGATCCCTCAGACAGAGACAAACACCTACAGAATCTCTATCAAGCATTTTTAAAACTGCAATACCCACCTGGTGAAGTGAAGAAACAGATTGACAGAGCCAGACGGGTACCGAGAAGTCACCTACTACAAGACATGCCCAAAGTAACAGAATGTCACTAGCCGTCACCGACAGCCCCCAACTAAAACCTCTCCAGAGCATCATCAATGATCTACAACCTATCCTGAAGGACGATCCCTCACTGTCACAGACCTTGGGAGACAGGCCAGTCCTCATTTACAGACAGCCCCCCAATCTGAACCAAATACTCACAAGCAACTACACACCACACAACAAAAACACCAACCCAGGAACCAAATCCTGCTACAAACCCCAGTGCCAACTCTGTCCACATATCTATTCAAGGGACACCATCATAGGACCTAACCACATCAGCCACACCATCAAGGGCTCATTCACTTGTACATCTACCAATGTGATATATGCCATCATGTGCCAGCAATGCCCTTCTGCCATGTACATTGGCCAAACTGGACAGTCTCTACGCGGAAGAATAAATGGACACAAATCTGACATCAGGAATCATAAGATTCAAAAACCAGTAGGAGAACACTTCAATTTCTCTGTTCACTCAATAACAGACCTAAAAGTGGCAATTCTTCAACAAAAAAACTTCAAAACCAGACTCCAGCGTGAAGCTGCAGAACTGGAATTAATTTGCAAACTGGATACCATCAGATTAGGCCTGAATAGAGACTGGGAGTGGTTGGGTCATTACAAAACCTAAACTTAATTAATTTCTCCCTACTGTTACTCACACCTTCTTGTCAACTGTCTGTAATGGGCCACTCTCTTACCACTTCAAAAACTATTTTTCCTCCCTTGGTATCCTGCTGTTAATTGATTTATCTCTTTAGACTGACCTCACACTTGGTAAAGCAACCTCCATCCTTTCATGTATTTATACCTGCTCCTGTATTTTCATTCCATGCATCTGATGAAGTGGGTTCCAACCTACGAAAGCTTATGCCCAAATGAATTTGTTAGTCTCTAAGGTGCCACAAGGACGCCTCATTATTTTTGCTGATACAGACTAACAAGGCTACCACTCTGAAACCTGTCACTAATGAATAAATTGTTGTATGTTAATGTATGTTATGTTAATTACTGGTGGTGTTTAGAAAGCAGAAGGTTACATCAAAAGCCTATTGTTTACCCAGGACTGTATGGTCAAGTGGAGGCTAGAAAACTATATAAAAGTCCGTTGGGTCCTGATCCTGTTTATCTCAGATCTGCTTGAGGTTTCATGCAGGGGATGCCTAAGCCACGAGGATTGAGATCCCAGTTCTGACAGGACCGCCCTGAAATATAAACATGGGACTATAACCTATGAAATATTTCTGAAAGAATTTTTTGCAACTACAAAGCTCACCATCTCTGCTATGTATCTGAACCTCAAGAACTGAACTCACATCTTTATAAATACTGATCTTTTAACCATACTCTCTCTTTTCTTTTTTAGTAAATTTTAGTTTAATTAATAAGAATTGGATATAAGCGTGTATTTGGGTAAGATGTGGAATATGCAGTAACCCGATGAAGTGGGCTGTAGCCCATGAAAGCTTATGCTCAAATAAATTTGTTAGTCTCTAAGATGCCACAAGTACTCCTGTTCTTTTTGTGGATACAGACTAACACGGCTGCTACTCTGAAACCTGGGAGGTAATGTGTCCAATCCTTTGGGATTGGCAGAACCTTTTCTTTTATATGACGAAATAAGATTTTAGAAATCTTCGTCATATTTGACTTGGGTGTCTGGATGGAGGCCTGAGGCTCGGTTACTTCACGGGAACTGTGTTGTTTGGACTTCTGAGTAACGAGTAAGGTATAACAAGCAATTTAGTGTTGGCTTGGTAAATTTAAGTATTGAATTATCCACCAGCTTTGGGGTTTGTCTGCCCCATTCTTTGCAGTTCACCCTAATTAGGTAACTTCAGCTGGCCCCCGCTGAGACCCTGGTCACAACATGATATTATACATTAGGCACAGCTACAAATAATAATCATCAGCAAGCGTGATACTCAGACCTCTTCTAACATACATGAACAATATCTGCCAGTAATGCACAGAGCTTGGGATACTTTTTCCTTGCATTTTTAGGGTGCTGGACTTCCGGAAGGACCACCCCTGAAAAAACTGGACTCCTTATAAAAATACTCTGAAGATGAGGTGTCAAATTCCCTGAAAGAAAATACAGTTTTCAAAATTCACTGTGAGCAGCCAATAAATAAGTGTATTTTAAATACACATAATTAAGTATATATACAGTACTCTTATTCTACTGTTCATGAGGATAGCTAAGATTAATTAAAAATCTCTCAGCAGAAATGTCTTTAGGCTTCAAAGTAAAGCTGAAAACTATTCAGCAACAATGTTAGATTGCTATATTTCCCTCTTTACTTCCCCTCCCAAAGAGGAAAGTTACATAAAAAGCAGATCCCTCCGGTAAAGACTTGTTCTGCACTATAGATTATATTTGCAGTTTGATGCACAAAGTAGTTTATACATGTATAACCGTGCAGATGATGAGGCTTTACCCCCATCTTTGCATCTTTCATGTTATCACCACAAACTATTACAGCAGCATGAATAAGGATATTGACAATGAAATGACCATCACTCATCTTTACAATTAGAATTCTCCTTCCTACAGTTTCATATTGTTAGGAGGATAAAATAAACAGGACTTACATTGCTGCAAGTCTGAAGCTCAGTGCAAAAGAAAAAAAGACTACATTCAAACAGTAGTTATGAATGGTTTGCTTTCCAACTGGGTGGGTGTATCTAGTGGGGTCCTGCAGGGGTCAGTCCTGGGTCCAGTACTATTCAGTATTTTCATTAATGACTTGGATAAATTGGGAGGGGTTGCAAGCACTTTGGAGGATAGGATTAGAATTCAAAACAACCTTGAAAAATTAGAGAATTGGTCTGAATTCAACAAGATGAAATTCAATAAAGATAAGTGCAAAGTATTTCATTTAAGTAGGAAAAATCAAATACAAAACTACAAAATGGGGAAAAACTGGCTAGGTGGTAGTACTGCCGAAAAGGATCTGGGAGTTACAGTGGATCACAATTTCAATATGAATCACGAGTGTGATGTAGTTGCTAAAAAGACTAATATCATTCCAAGGTGGTAACTGTCCTGTTCTACTGGTGAGGCCTCAGCTGGAGTACAGAGTCCATTTCTGGGTACCACACTTTAAGAAAGTCCAGAAGAGAGCAAAAAAAAAAAAAAAACGTTTAGAAAACCTGACTTGTGAGGATGGGTTTTAAAAAAGTGGGCATGTTTAATCTTGAGAAAAGAATACTGAGGAGGGACCTGAAAACAGTCTTCAAATATATTAAAGGCTGTTATAAAGAAGCCAGGAATCAATCGTAATCCATGTCCACTGAAAGTAAGACAAGAAGTAATGTGCTTAATCTGCAGCAAGGGAGATTTGAGTTAGATATTAGGGAAAACTTTCTAATTATAAGGGTAGTTAAGCTCTGGAATAGGATTCCAAGGGAGGCTGTGGAATCCCCATCATTGGAGCTTTTAAGAACAGGCTGTAAAAACACCTGTCAGGGATGGTCAAGGAGGTTTACTTGTTCCTGTCTCAGTGCAGGGGGGTGGAGTTGATGACTTCTCAAGGTCCCTTCCACTCTACATTTCTATGATTATATAGCGCAACAATCAAATTGATTATAACATGTCAGTGTTTTTCTTAAATATTGTCTGCATTACACATCAGCAGTACTTACCTACTTTTGTCACAATTTTATGGAGTAGGTCTAGGTCAGAGCTACTGGGTAGATAAGGATTTCCAGTGGCCATCTCAATGATCATACAACCTAAAGCCCAGATGTCCACAGGTCTAAGATCAGGAAATGAACAAAGTGCTCAACAATACAGAGACTGATACTAAGATAAAACATATTTAAAGAGAGCTGATATTTTAAAAAGAAAAATTTTAAAAGAATTAAAATATCTCTAAAATAACAGAATATTTGACAATATAAAAGGATAACACAGAATTAATCACACTTTAAAATATCTTCACAATTATGAAATAATATTGCAGCACTTAGCTGTGAAATTCCTTTAGTTTGTGTAACTGTATATGAAGATCTATAATTAATATAGCTACACAACAACTACAGCATCTACTAAGACAATCCTTAAACTCGCGTAGTAGCATTAGCATGTATTATGAGTGAATCTGGCATATTATTCTCCAAAAGTCATACTTAACAAGAACTTTAATTAGCATGCTCATATGAAACTGCCAAATATTTTTATTTATTGTTTCATGACATTTCTCTTAATCCTCTTTTTGAGACTCAGACAATAGCTCTAATCTGATTAAAGATTATGATGTTTTTGGTGTTATAACACTTAAAGGATTACCATCTGTCTAGGAACTATATAACAAATATTGAAAATCTGTATGGTTTATAAAATTAGAGTATTCTATTTAATGGTAGACTATGTGCCACTGAAGTCAGTAAAAGCTTTGCCATTGACTTCAATCGGTTCAAGATCAAGCCTAAAATGCATATATGTGACCCGATATATGTGGACGTTTTGTTGGGTATTGGGAATTAATTTTGTTATTATTTTACTCTCCTCTAGCAAAGCAAGAGTCACTCTTTAAAATATGTGACAGAACACATCTAACGTTCCCCTACTATGTCTAGGCACTAGAGATTTGATTTGTCAAAGTGATTTTAAATCCTTTTGTTGGTTTAACATGATTTTTACAGGAAAATTGTTTCACCTACAAGCAAATTAATTTCTGGCTTTTTGTTAACAGTACTATATTGCTCTAAAAAGTATAAGTTCTAACAATGCTGCTCCATGCCAGCTTAATAATAAGGTATGTAAATAAAAATACATACTTCCCATATGTGGTGTCTTTTAATACCAGTTCTGGAGCCCTATACCATCGTGTGGCCACATAATCTGTATAAATATCACCAGGGGCAGCTAATGTCCGAGCAAAACCAAAATCACATAGTTTAGTAATTCCCGTCTGGGATACTAAGATATTCTCAGGTTTGATATCACGATGTATGACCTGGACAAAAGAAGGAAAGTCTAATTTACTTTAATAAATAAAAAGGATTCTGCATAAAAGATTACTCTCAAAGAGCATGGACTGAAACAAACACATACATTTTGCCATGTTAGGATCACAATAAGCAGTACAGTGTCCTAAATTCTCAAAATTGTCTGCAGAGGGTGACAACCATAGGCTGCTACTGCTACACACAACAACAGCCTAATGTGTATGCGGTGGAGAGAAAAAGAGAAGTAACAATGCACCCCAACCCACCCCTCAAAATAAAGAAATGAACAAACAAAAAAAAACAGACCCCCTGGAGACCAGGGAAGAAACTGCAAAAAGACTGAGAGAGCTGGGAGTGGAAAGCAATGTGCTGTAAGCAAACTGCCCTGAAAATCTGAAACGGGAGGATACAGTGGTCAGTAGGTTAATAAGAAAGCAATAATAATCAGAAATGGACAAGAACCATAACCCAAACTCCAAACATCTCAGAACCAAAGTTTAGATCTGGATCCAAACAGTGTGAACACAGCTCACCCCTGAGAATTACAGTACCTAACCCTTTAATGGCTAACCCTTTAAAGTATTTCATCTTTTACTGCACAAGTATTTCAGTTCTAAAAATCAAAATTCAGTTGGCAGCATTTAGGCTATTATTATGAAACTAGAATTTTTTAATATGGAATTAACATTTTCAAACTCTGGGAGACAAAACACTATGTAAAATCAATCAGAAAATATAACATCACTTTGTTTTAGCCTTATTTTGTAGCTTCTACAAAGTACTTACATTGTTGCTGTGGAGATACTCAATTGCTCGAAGGATCTGAAAGAGGTATCTTCTAAGTCTTTTATTATCCAGTCCTTGACAGTAATGTTGTAGCTCATCTAAAACTGTATGATCAATAAATTCAAACACCAAATGAATTTTTTTTTTCTGTCTAAATACTTCTATCAGGTTGACCAGGTTTTCATGACGAAATTGCTGTCGGTGAGAGGAAATAAAACATTCTACTGTAGCTTTTCAGTATTTATTTCTATTAGGATAGTTTTTCTTCTTGACCAAGAGACATATTTGCAAGGGTAGACATGAAAGATTTACATCATTTTGTAAATATTCAGAAATTCTTATTCCCTCTACTCTAACCTTCCCCCAATATTTAAACTATTGCTATTTCAGCTATTTTGCTAAAATGAGGCTGAATCTGAACCCCCACTTGGTAAGGAACTCCCATTTTTTCATGTGCTGTAATATTTATACTGCTTACTGTATTTTTCACTCCATGCATCTGATGAAGTGGGTTTTAGCCCACGAAAGCTTATGCCCAAATAAATTTGTTAGTCTCTAAGGTACCACAAGGACTCCTTGTTGTTTTTGCTAATATACTCAAAGTTGCTAAAACTTTGTTGATACCACTGGACCTAATTAAGAAGAAAAAAAATTCATGCTGTACAGACTTTCAAGTCCCCAGAAAATCAGCTTCTGCTGTGGTACAAAAGCTAGAACTTTTCCCCCCTTTTTCAGAGTTCACTAACGGTGAACCAAAAACTGCTGTCAGGTACAGCGGTGTAAGCCAGGAATAACATAACTGAAATGGTTGACTGAGAGAAGGTAAGAAAAACTCCTGCACATGCACTTTATTTGCATTGATCAATTAAAGATGCAAAGCCTCATGTCAAACTGGTATTTTTAAAAATGTGCACCATTTCACATTAAGCTCCATATTTTATTTTTATTTATATTCTAGTTTTAGTATTTTTAAAGTTTTATTAAGTTGTTTATTAATGGACTACAAAGATGATGTGTCTAAATTTTTTAATTATAACCATATTGAATAATTTTGGGTTACATTCTCAGTTATAGAGGCATCCATTCAGATTAATACTACTAAGGCAGATGGAAATTAGTCTAGATTTAGAACTAGAGCCTTTATTCCCCTTGACTTCTATACAAGTTGGAGAATCAGGCCCTTACCATAGAATCTGGTTTTTGTACTTTCGCCAAGTCTTAATTAAAAATTGATAAGGATCAAATTAAAAAATAATCGTCCTGTTAGGGCAATGAGTGGGGTTGGTACTGAGAGTCAGACTTTATGACCCAGTCATTCAAGTATAAAAAATAAATTTAAATCTCAGGCTTTGAATTTGCAAACACTTTGAATTTGCTGAGAGAGAAAAGGGCAAGCCAGGTCAAACAGGAATCTGCCCCAAACCATCTCTAACATGTTTAACAAGAAAACATAATACATTATGTTTGCATTAACTTTCTTGCAGGATCCGCCACATGCACTGCTTTGGCCTCCCATGAATACACTGGTTTCGGGGGTAGGTAGGGGAGTAGAAAACACCTTCACTGCCAGATAATCATGCTGGGGAATCTCTGGGAGGGAATAGCTACAGATTCCTCCTCTGTTCCTAGGTGGCACAGAACTGGGATAATGACTACATCACACCCCTGTGGTGATGCTGTGTAGGCTGTAGGAAATGTACTGGAGAAAGGGCTTGGGGAAAGTGGTGTGACCTGGGAACTGCTGTATTCTGGTGATATGCAGCTCCCAGAATGGCCTCCCCGGGTCAGCTGGATCCAGGCACCAACCACTCAAAGCTCCAAACCTGGAGTTTAGATTGGAAAGTCACAAACGCCACTTTTGCTCTTCCTACCCAGTTTCCTGATGCAGCTGAGGATCTAGTCCCAAAGAGAATGCACACGAGTTACCTGAAGTCAAATGGTAAATCGCTGACAGACTTAAGCATGGGACTCTGTGACTCCAAACCCAATACTAAAAATGGGGAATGTTTTAATTTTGTAAGTCAAATATGTATGTAGATTGGTAGAAAGAGGTTAATCTGTTTTATATTTCTCTTACAGTTCAGAACCTTCAGCAAAACTGCCATGGATAGCAATAGATTGAGACACAATTTTCTGGGGACAAGGGGTAAAGAAATTATAAATTTATCCATGTCAACTGCATCAAAAGCTGACATCAGCAGACTTTTGTGCTAGTGCAGAAGTCCATAGGACTACACATCGGATTAATGGTTTGCAAAATTGTGCCAAATTAAAAGCCCATCGAAATTCACATCCGTGCACTCTACTGTTTTAAATATTAGAGAGACAAGGTGGATGAGATTAATATGTTAAATATTGACTGTTTCACTTATCAAGTTTCTTTTAAAATCATAGCCACAAGTTTTATCTTCACTTTACTTTTTATCTTCAATTTTTTTTAAAAGTCTTGGCAATAAAACAAGTCAAACAACATGGTTTTTCTTGGTATATTTTATGTGTTTCATAGCCAGTGAGTGATAGGTATACGCCAATAATGATGCAAATTTTATTTCCAAGCACTTACCCTTGTGATTTACAAAATGATTAAAGCAAAAGAAGCAAACCTTTAGAAACTTTATTTCTCTCATAGCAATTTTGTTGACAGATTTTTCTGGTTTCTCATAGAATATCTTAATGGCTACTATCTGTCCTGTTTCCTTGTGTTTGCACTTCACTACTGTTCCATAACTCCCCTCTCCCACTTTGCCAAGGGTCTCGTACATCTCCATCTTCCAGTCTGATTTTTATTTCTTCACAGAAAGAGAAAATGTGAAAAATTATTTTGCGGCATACACTATATGTTTAAAAGAACAATTTGCAGACAACGTTAGCAAGGTGAATTACTCCTACAGACAGCAATAACTCCATTGTACATTTAAAATATTTGCTTCTGTGTGTGAAATTTATCCCAGTAACAACAATAATAGTCTGACTGGACGGCAGGATCAGGCCCTTTCTCAAATGTGCATTCCCAGTTCAACCAAGTGGTCATCTGCAGGATTGGTCTTGTAGACAATATCTAGAAACTCCCTAAATAGCAGTACATTTAAAGCAATTTTTGTATTTAACTCTCATTAAAAGGAAAGGAACAAACAATGAAACATATAAGAAGCAAAGTTAGTGTGATAATATTCAAATCATTATACAATTCTAAAAAATGTAAAGGTAAGACAAAAAATGATCAACGAGAAGACTTTAACAACCTAAATAAAGTCAAATTTAACATATTTCAGAAAGTTCATTCCAATAGTGAAATCAAAATCATAGTCCAAAGAGTGGTTTCAGAGTAGCAGCCATGTTAGTCTGTATCCGCAAAAAGAAAAGGAGTACTTGTGGCACCTTAGAGACTAACAAATTTATTTGGGCATAAGCGTTCGTGAGCTACAGCTCACTTCATCGGATGCATGCAGTGGAAAATATAGTGGGGAGGTTTATATACACAGAGAACATGAAACAATGGGTGTTACCGTACACACTGTAAGGAGAGTGATCAGGTAAGGTGAGCTATTACCAGCAGGGCGGGGGGACGGACTTTTATAGTGATAATCAAGGTGGGCCATTTCCAGCAGTTAACAAGAACGTCTGAGGAACAGCGGGGGTGGGGTGGGGGGGGAGGAATAAACATGGGGAAATAGTTTTACTTTGTGTAATGATCCATCCACTCCCAGTCTTTATTCAAGCCTAAGCCCTGGTCTACACTAGGACTTTAGGTCGAATTTAGCAGCGTTAAATCGATGTAAACCTGCACCCGTCCACATGATGAAGCCTCTTATTTCAACTTAAAGGGCTCTTAAAATCGATTTCCTTATTCCATCCCTGACAAGTGGATTAGCGCTTAAATCGGCCTTGCCGGGTCGAATTTGCGGTACTGTGGACACAATTCGACGGTATTGGCCTCCGGGAGCTATCCCAGAGTGCTCCACTGTGACCGCTCTGGACAGCACTCTCAACTCAGATGCACTGGCCAGGTAGACAGGAAAAGAACCGCGAACTTTTTAATCTCATTTCCTGTTTGGCCAGCGTGGCAAGCTGCAGGTGACCATGCAGAGCTCATCAGCAGAGGTGACCATGATGGAGTCCCAGAATCGCAAAAGAGCTCCAGCATGGACTGAACGGGAGGTACGGGATCTGATCGCTGTATGGGGAGAGGAATCCGTGCTATCAGAACTCCGTTCCAGTTTTCGAAATGCCAAAACCTTTGTCAAAATCTCCCAGGGCATGAAGGACAGAGGCCATAACAGGGACCCGAAGCAGTGCCGCGTGAAACTTAAGGAGCTGAGGCAAGCCTACCAGAAAACCAGAGAGGCAAACAGCCACTCCAGGTCAGAGCCCCAAACATGCCGCTTCTATGATGAGCTGCATGCCATTTTAGGGGGTTCAGCCACCACTACCCCAGCCGTGTTGTTTGACTCCTTCAATGGAGATGGAGGCAACACGGAAGCAGGTTTTGGGGACGAAGAAGAAGAAGATGATGATGATGAGGTTGTAGATAGCTCACAGCAAGCAAGCGGAGAAACCGGTTTTCCCGACAGCCAGGAACTGTTTCTCACCCTGGACCTGGAGCCAGTACCCCCCGAACCCACCCAAGGCTGCTTTCTGGACTCGGCAGGCGGAGAAGGGACCTCCGGTGAGTGTACCTTTTAAAATACTATACATGGTTTAAAAGCAAGCATGTGAAAGGATTACTTTGCCCTGGCATTCGCGGCTCTCCTGGATGTACTCCCAAAGCCTTTGCAAAAGGTTTCTGGGGAGGGCAGCCTTATTGCGTCCTCCATGGTAGGACACTTTACCACTCCAGCCAGTAACACGTACTCGGGAATCATTGTACAACAAAGCATTGCAGTGTATGTTTGCTGGTGTTCAAACAACATCCGTTCTTTATCTCTCTGTGTTATCCTCAGGAGAGTGAGATATCATTCATGGTCACCTGGTTGAAATAGGGTGCTTTTCTTCAGGGGACACTCAGAGGAGCCCGTTCCTGCTGGGCTGTTTACCTGTGGCTGAACAGAAATGTTCCCCGCTGTTAGCCACGGGGAGGGGGGAGGGTTGAGGGGGTAGCCACGTGGTAGGGGGAGGCAAAATGTGACTTTGTAACGAAAGCACATGTGCTATGTATGTAATGTTAACAGCAAGGTTTACCCTGAAAGAGTGTAGCCACTGTTTTATAAAATGTGTCTTTTTAAATACCGCTGTCCCTTTTTTTTTCTCCACCAGCTGCATGTGTTTCAATGATCACAGGATCGTCTCCTTCCCAGAGGCTAGTGAAGATTAGAAAGAAAAAAAAACGCACTCGTGATGAAATGTTCTCTGAGCTCATGCTGTCCTCCCACACTGACAGAGCACAGACGAATGCGTGGAGGCAAATAATGTCAGAGTGCAGGAAAGCACAAAATGACTGGGAGGAGAGGTGGCGGGCTGAAGACAGGGCTGAAGCTCAAATGTGGCGGCAGCGTGATGAGAGGAGGCAGGATTCAATGCTGAGGCTGCTGGAGGACCAAACCAGTATGCTCCAGTGTATGGTTGAGCTGCAGCAAAGGCAGCTGGAGCACAGACTGCCACTACAGCTCCTGTGTAACCAACCGCCCTCCTCCCCAAGTTCCATAGCCTCCGCACCCAGAAGCCCAAGAACGCGGTGGGGGGCCACCGGCCAACCAGCTACTCCGCCACAGAAGATTGCCCAAAAAAAAGAAGGCTGCCATTCAATAAATTTTAAAGTTGTAAACTTTTAAAGTGCTGTGTGGCATTTTCCTTCCCTCCCCCACCACCCCTCCTGGGCTACCTTGGTAATCATCCCCCTATTTGTGTGATGAATGAATAAAGAATGCATGAATGTGAAGCAACAATGACTTTATTGCCTCTGCAAGCAATGATTAAAGGGAGGAGGGGAGGGTGGTTAGCTTGCAGGGAAGTAGAGTGAACCAAGGGGCGGGGGGTTTCATCAAGGAGAAACAAAGAGAACTTTCACACCGTAGCCTGGCCAGTCATGAAACTGGTTTTCAAAGCTTCTCTGATGCGGACTGCGCCCTCCTGTGCTCTTCTAACCTCCCTGGTGTCTGGCTGTGCGTAACCAGCAGCCAGGCGATTTGCCTCAACCTCCCACTCTGCCATAAACGTCTCCCGCTTACTCTCACAGATATTGTGGAGCACACAGCAAGCAGTAATAACAGTGGGAATATTGGTTTTGCTGAGGTCTAAGCGAGTCAGTAAACTGCGCCAGCGCGCCTTTAAACGTCCAAATGCACATTCTACCACCATTCTGCACTTGCTCAGCCTGCAGTTGAACAGCTCCTGACTACTGTCCAGGCTGCCTGTGTACGGCTTCATGAGCCATGGCATTAAGGGGTAGGCTGGGTCCCCAAGGATACATATAGGCATTTCAACATCCCCAACAGTTATTTTCTGGTCTGGGAATAAAGTCCCTTCCTGCAGCTTTTGAAACAGACCAGCGTTCCTGAAGATGCGAGCATCATGTACCTTTCCCGGCCATCCCACGTTGATGTTGGTGAAACGTCCCTTGTGATCCACCAGAGCTTGCAGCACTATTGAAAAGTACCCCTTGCGGTTTATGTACTCGCCGGCTTGGTGCTCCAGTGCCAAGATAGGGATATGGGTTCCGTCTATGGCCCCACCACAGTTAGGGAATCCCATTGCAGCAAAGCCATCCACTATGACCTGCACATTTCCCAGGGTCACTACCCTTGATATCAGCAGATCTTTGATTGCGTGGGCTACCTGCATCACAGCAGCTCCAACAGTAGATTTGCCCACTACAAATTGATTCCCAACTGACCAGTAGCTGTCTGGCGTTGCAAGCTTCCACAGGGCTATCACCACTCGCTTCTCAACTGTGAGGGCTGCTCTCATCTTGGTATTCATGCGCCTCAGGGCAGGGGAAAGCAAGTCACAAAGTTCCATGAAAGTGCCCTTACGCATGCGAAAGTTTTGCAGCCACTGGGAATCATCCCAGACCTGCAACACTATGCGGTCCCACTAGTCTGTGCTTGTTTCCCGAGCCCAGAATCGGCGTTCCACAGCATGAACCTGCCCCATTAGCACCATGATGCATGCATTGGCAGGGCCCATGCTTTCAGAGAAATCTGTGTCCATGTCCTGATCACTCACGTGACCGCGCTGACGTCGCCTCCTCGCCCGGTATCGCTTTGCCAGGTTCTGGTGCTGCATATACTGCTAGATAATGCGTGTGGTGTTTAATGTGCTCCTAATTGCCAAAGTGAGCTGAGCGGCCTCCATGCTTGCCTTGGTATGGCATCCGCACAGAAAAAAGGCGTGGAACGATTGTCTGCCGTTGCTCTGACGGAGGGAGGGGCGACTGACGACATGGCTTACAGGGTTGGCTTCAGGGAGCTAACATCAACAAAGGGGGTGGCTTTACATCAAGGAGTATTTTAGGCAGGACTTCACGGAGGGTTCCAATAAGAAATGGTGCACCTAAGTTATTGTTCTTATTGGAACAATGAGGTTAGTCTGGCCTCTGATTGATACATGGCTAGATTTACCTTGCTGCACCTTCTCTGTGAGTGACTGCAGTGTGACCTAGAGGAATGAGTCCCCTAGACAGGGGAGGGGGAGAAGCAAATGAGTACAAAACAAATCTGGTCTATTTCTTGTTTTGATCCACTCCATCTATCTTTTACATCTTTGGCTGGCAGCAGAAGGTGCAGAAGGACTGCAAGCCATCCACATCTCATGGCTGCTCGGCAGAAGACGGTGCAATACGACTGCTAGCCATCCCCATCTCTTGCCTGCCTGGCAGAAGATGGTACAGTACGACTGCTAGCAATCCGTATTGCCTGCCTGCTCACCATAAGACGGTTCAATAGGACTGACTGCAGGATTAAAGAGAATGACGTGATCAAGTCACTCCAAACTTAGTCCCTGCGCCCATGTCTGTCCAGGCGCTCCCGGCCGACGCGGCCAGGAGCACCTCGGACATGACGATGACAGCTACCAGTCATATTGCACCGTCTGCTGCCAGAAGGCAATGGGTTGCTGCTACTGTGTAGCAATGCAGTACCGTGTCTGCCAGCACCCAGGAGACATACTGTGACGGTTACCTGAGCGGGTTCCATGCTTGCCGTGGTATGGCGTCTGCACAGGTAACTCAGGAAAAAAGGCGTGAAACGATTGTCTGCCCTTGCTTTCACGGAGGGAGGGAGGGAATGGGGGCCTGACAATATGTACCCAGAACCACCCGCGACAATGTTTTAGCCCCATCAGGCATTGGGATCTCAACCCAGAATTCCAATGGGCAGCGGAGACTGCGGGAACTGTGGGATAGCCACCCACAATGCAACACTCCGGAAGTCGATGCTAGCCTCGGTACTGTGGAAGCACTCCGCCGAGTTACTGCACTTAATGCACTTAGAGCATTTTCTGTGGGGACACACACACACTCGAATATATAAAACTGATTTCTAAAAAAACGACTTCTATAAATTCGACCTGATTTCGTAGTGTAGACATACCCTAAGTTAATTGTATCCAGTTTGCAAATTAATTCCAATTCAGCAGTCTCTCGTTGGATTCTGTTTTTGAAGTTTTTTTGTTGAAAAGTGGCAATTCTTCAACTTAGGCTTGAATAGAGACTGGGAGTGGATGGGTCATTACACAAAGTAAAACTATTCCCCCCCCCCACTGTTCATCCGATGAAGTGAGCTGTAGCTCACGAAAGCTTATGCTCAAATAAATTTGTTAGTCTCTAAGGTGCCACAAGTACTCCTTTTCTTTTTGCGAATACAGACTAACACGGCTGCTACTCTGAAACCTGTCAGATGTTCTTGTCACGGCTGGAAATGGTCCACCTTGATTATCACTACAAAAGGTTTCCTCCCCCCACTTTCTCGCTGGTAATAGCTCACCTTACCTGATCACTCTCATTACAGTGTGTATGGTAACACCCATTGCTTCATGTTCTCTGTATATATAAATCTCCCCACTGTATTTTCCACTGAATGCATCCGATGAAGTGAGCTGTAGCTCACAAAAGCTTATGCTCAAACAGATTTGTTCGTCTCTAAGGTGCCACAAGTCCCCCTTTTCTTTTTAGTCCAAAGAGTGTTGATCAAAATCAGTCCACTGGAAACTCCTTTGGTCAGAGAGCAGGGCCTCCCTTATAATCTCTGTTTGGAATTCCTGAATATCTCCACAAGTTTTTAATTTAGCCATACTTCATGATAAATTTATTCACCAGATTTAGTTATTAAAAAGCTCATCCTCTTTTCATATAGTATAGGTGCATAAGATAGGATTAACTTTTTGAACAACTATTACAAGAAATAGAGCTTTAACCAAGGCAAGAATAATTTGACCTCTACATAGTTTGTACCACTGATTACATGAATACACAAAATTTGCTCTATCTACAAATGAGGAAGGGGCATAAGAATGAGAAAATCACAACTCCTTCACTGACTAGTCTGTGAGAGCAAAATCACTACATTTATTGGGGTGTGGTGAAAGCAAGCCAGAATAACACTATGATTCACTTGCTCAAACTCTGTGATCTGGAAATGTTTAAGAAATAACCTATGTCATTTTATGGACGGCAGGTGCTTCTTGAGCATTCAGACAAACCTTAGCTACCCTATGGGGCTCTGCCCAGAATCTTTCACATGGGTCACCTTAAACTCTTCCCAGGAATTGCCCACACAGCCACAATGCTTGAAAAAGAGTACCAAATCCCCCCTGAAACCCTGATCTAACTGTCTAGGAATGTATATTGAGCTTCTTAGTGCAGTAGCTGCACTTCCCCCACACGGGGGCACATGATTCCTCAGGGAAGAGCCCAAACCCTCCCTTCTTCCCAATTACTAGGGCTATAAACGGAGAGAGGATAGTTACATTCCACACCTTGCCAGATTTATTACACAGCTGAGGAGGGCCCTGACTGGATGACAGCTGCCCCCTGAATCCCAGAGAGGCCATGGAAAAACTCAATCACTTGAGCCCTTGCTCCTGATGCTCTAGAGCAACAATCCCCCAAGTGTCCCGCCAGCTCCCAAGCCACGGCAACATCCCCTGGTGCCCGGACCAGCCACCAACCCCAACCCAGCACAGTCTTCCCCCAGCCTCAGCTACCCATCCGGTCCAACCCCCCAGCCCCTTCCCCCAGCTCTAACTACCCATCCAGTTCAACCCCCAATCCACAGCCCTAGCTACCAGCCCTAGCCCGAGCTACCCATCCAGTCCAACCCCCGTAACGCCCAGCCTAGCTACCAGCCCTTCCCCCAGCCGCCCATCCAGTTCAACCCCCCTTAGCCCCCCCAACCTAGCTACCTGCCGCCTCCCTGCCGCACCCGCTTCCCCTGCCAGCCCCTCGGCTCTCCCCCTGGCCCGGGCAGCTCCAAGCCCCACCCGCCCTGAGCTAACCTGACCTGCTCGAGCCCGCTTTCCATGCTGGGCCCTTCTATCCCGGCTCGGCACGCCTCTCCCTCACGGGCCTTGTTACCATAGCAACCACCAGCTACAGCAACGGCGCTCGCGGGATCGGGCCGCGGTGCTTCCGTGACCGCACCGCGTTCCACCCGGAAGTGACGTCATGGCGCGGGGGCCTGCTCGGCAGAGAGGGAGAAGTCGGGGCTGCTGGGGGGTGTTAATGGGGACGGGGGAGAGCAGGGGGTGGGGCTCTGGAACCGAGGTGGGGGTGGGATTCAATGCGGGGGGAGAGGGGCGGGTGGCTGCCGGTGATTGGCACAATAATGGGGGGGGGGTCTGGGCTTTCAGGAGCGGGGCGGCGGGAGCGACAGCGACGCAGCTGCCTGGCACGTCACTGACCAGCAATACAGAGCGTGGGCAGGAGCCCAGTCATGTGTGTCAGGCCCCCCTGCCCACGCGCGGGGTGGGCACGGACACCCTGCTCTCCCGCAGCCTCGGCGGAAGGACGCGTGTCACGTCAGCCTTGTATTTGCTCACACATCGGTCAGGCTCAGAGCCTGGGGCAGTCTTGTGCGAGTTTGCTGCGGACAGATCATTCTAGGCAGGGTTCCCGCTAATCTACATGTGCAACAAACACACAAACAGCAATTCTGAACGCCTTACGAACTCTTATAGTGTCTACACATGCATGAAGTGGCAATTCTGAACGCCTTACGAACTCTTATAGTGTCTACACATGCATGAAGTGGCCTGTCCTACTGAACAAGCTCTCAATATATTTATGGTTACATAAATAAGATAACAAAAATGCAGTTTAAAAAGCCAGAGCAGGGGTCAGCAACCTTTCATAACTGGTGTGCCCAGTCTTCATTTATTCACTCCAATTTAAGGTTTTGCACTCCAGTAATACATTTAAACTTTTTTTGAACGTCTCTTTCTATATGGCTATAATATATAACTAAACTATTGTTGTATGTAAAGTAAATAAGGTTTTTTAAAATGTTTAAGAAGCGTCATTTAAAATGAAATTAAAACGCAGAGCCCTCCGGACCAGTGGCTGGGACCTGGGCAGTGTGAGTGCCACTGAAAATCGGCTCACGTGCCGCCTTTGGCACACGTGCCAAAGGATGTCTACCCCTGATCCAGAGGATAGAGTTAAGGTTGTGATAAAATACCAACTTCTTTGGGCTTGGTAAGAATAATGGGGCTATGGTTATGTTAATATATTGAGAGGAAGCATGTTATAATTCTTTTCTCAGCCTTTACCTGCTCCGTTTACGGCTCAATCATTGCTTTGTTTTGCTGCGTCAGAAGTAGTCTGGGAAACTGACTCAGTCACAGTCTGGCTCCCAGTTTCCTTCTGGTTCTGGGAGGCGGGGTGGGGGGGTGGTATCCAGCACAAACCTTATACCTGGTACAACGTACAGTCCTTGGTGCTCCACACATCCACTACTAGTGGCGGCTTTGCAGAAGCAGCTAATCATGATCCTTATATCCAGTCATTCCCCTTCAGAAGAGTACAGAATGCGTCACATTCTGGTCCCTTACACTGTAAACTTTTGGAGCAGGGATTGTCTCCCACTATGTGTTTGTAGAAAACCTAACAGAATGGGGCCTCAAACTCAGCTGGGGCCTCTAGGTGCTACTGTAAAAGAAAAAAAAAGTTTATGAGAGATGCCTTTGAATATTCATTTCCTTGATTTGAGGTGCTTGGAGTGTAGATTATATTATAGGTCTTGTCACTCAGTCTTGTCACTGAGGCTCTGATCCTGCTATACGCTCCACAGGGACATTGCAGGAACAGGGCCCTAGTAGCCTGAATTTTTTAAATGAAGTTTTGCGGGGTTTGAAATACCATAACAAATATAAAAGTAAATAAACAGTTCAGCTTCATTGCCATTTCCTAACATTTATAAGGCTTATTAAGGGCAGAAATCCCTTATTTCTGCATGTAAGAAGATTTTCTGTTTGAGGCTATGTTATAAAAATGTCTTGTTTATAATCTGAGAGCTATTCAAGATTTTAACAAAAATAATGTCACTGTCTGAAAATGTGACACTTTTGATTAAATTTCTGCCATAATCAAATGTTATCCCTTTTCAGGGGAAAAATAATTAGGAATCAATAACTGACTTAAAACCAAACAATTGTATTAGCTATTACAGTGTTATTCTGCACATTCCTGAATGAAAAAAAACTAGTGATGTTTTAAATATATGAGACCATGTAAGAAAAAAATTCCAGTTTGAAACCTTTTATAATTAATCATGGTAATGCAGTGTTGCATGATGAGTAATAGTATATGATAAAGTGAAAGTAATATTTTAACTAAAATGTCCTTAGTGAAATACAATAGGATGTAACTGCAATAACAAGTTAAGGTCTATTTAACAATGTACTGCAGGAGAACAATATCAGCAGACATGTCTAAAATGACTGTTCCTGCAGTGAGGTTTTTGGTAAATACCAAAAATTCGCTATTTACTGAAAGATTCGGTTACCAAGATTCAGTAAATCTTCATAGCCAGGGAATGATAAGAGAAACCCTAAAATCATATGCATATTAACTGCATACTTTGACTACTGCAGTTGTGATTTAACTTAAAACACAACCCAGAATGAATTTAATTTGATTAAAAAAACCCTCCACATAATCCACCTAGTGTGACATATATATAACGTGAAAGAGAAAATGCACAAACCTTTGTTTTTATTTTTCTAAGAAAATAATTAAAATGTATCTTTAATCTCAGGATAAAATAAAATATCCCTTAATTAGTTAAAATTAATCTATACGTTATGGTCACACTATGACTGATTTTGGACAAAGCACTGTGCAATATAGTCATGAACTAGCCAGCATGGATGGATACCACTGCCCTCTACTGGATGGAATCATAACTGCTGAGCTATGTGTCATAGGCTGTACTCTGCCAGTCGCTAATGTAGTGAAGGTCCCCTTCAAGGAGTAGGGAACTATGCTTTTGGCACAGGAGATCTGAATTGTATCCCCACTGCCACCACAGAGTTTTTGGTAGCAAGGGTATGTATTATATTAACAACAGTGAAGTAAATTAATTTTGTTAAACTAACGTTATTATTATCATTTATTTTATTATCTATTACCTATATAGGGCCAAACGTTCACATGGCTTTTACAAACATAAAGTTGGATAATGTCCTTCCCCTGAAGAATTAATAATTTAATTTGCACAATATAAACAATTTGAAGGCCAGGTACGCGAGAGAATTAGAGATGACCAGCAACAGAATAAAAGTGAAGGAAGTCAGGGGAGCAATTTTGAAAGAGAGCACACTTAGCACATGGGCAGAGGGAATTATTTCCCATTGATATAGGAAATAATTCTGCATTAACAAGGATGAACTAGCATTAGCTAACTTAATAGATCCTTTCTGTCTTCCATTACAATGATTTTATAAGATTTTTGTTTCTTTATATTCAGCCCTGACCCTGCAAACATGCCTAACTTGCAGGTGAGCAGTTCCATTGTCTTGGGACAATGGAAATATAAACATTCTTAAAATTAAGCATGTAAATAAGTGTTTACATGATGGGGGGCTTAGATTATAAACTCTTTGGGGAAGGGACCGTCTCTTTCTATATGTTTGCATGGCAGCTAGCACAATGGGATCTCTGAATAAAGCACACAAAGCAGCTTTAGTGTAGAATCTACTTCATCTAGTAATAAGAAAACACCATTATTAGCTAACACTGGTGTTTTTAAAATACTGCATTAGGGGTTACAAATAATTAAGGGCCTGATACTCCTCCTCAAGTATATGGGTAGCAGGAAGCTAAAGCAAGCAGGTAAGGGAACAAGTGACAGGTCAACATTCACACTAAGGGTTAGGTTGGCATAGCTACATCATTCAGGAGTGTGGATTTTTCACACCCCTGAGCGATGTGGCTACATCAACCTAAATTTTAAATGTGGGCCATGATTCAGTTTAGCTGCTTCTCTGCTCCACACTTGAATTGCCATAGAGTCCCCACTGCATTGTGAATGGGCTTCTGGGTGGTCCAAGGGTAGCTTTGCCAATTTTGGTTGGAAATTTAATCACATGCTATAAGCTTTACTTAAATATTAATCTTTAATTCCTGGAGGCTCCAGGCCAACCCTGGAGGGTTGGCAATCCTACTCAGGGAGACAGTGTCCTTACACAGATGGAAAAACCTCTTCTGTCAGCATTGGCTGCATCTTCACTACTGGGTTATGCTGGGGCAATGTAGCTATACCAGTATAGTCCCTGTAGCGCAGGCATGGCTTCTGTAGCATGTGGTTCTTGGGGACTGTGCTGGAAGCAGCGTTACCTATGCCCTGTGCCTGATAGCCCCTATTGGGGCTGGTTTACACATGAAACGAAAGGCATTCTGGAATAAGATGAGGTGTGAATTTAAAGCAGAATAGCTACTCCCAAATAGCTCCATGTGTGGATGTTCTTATTTTGGAATAAAAATGGCTTTCTCTGGTTTAACTCAATACACTTCCAAAGCAGAAAAGCGGGGACGGGGGGACTGCAGCCCACTTTGCTCTCTGCTCACCCTATGGCACTGTGAAGCTTGCATGCCCATCTGCACACCTGGCAGGTGCGGCTAGGCGGGAATTTGCCAAGGCCGCTGAGGATGTACCTAAGGCAGGGACCCCAGTATTTCTCTGTGTGCAGCCCTGCTGGGACAATTTGTATAATGGGGGGCACTGAGAGCCATTGAACCAAACAGTAAACCCTCTATATGATGGGAACCACTTCAAGCCAGGCAGTGCAGCAGCACCGCTAGCTCCACCAGCACCTCTGCTTGTGTGTAGTAGTTATACGTTTTTTGAAGCACTGGGAACCTGTTAGACGCTGAGTTGTGCCTTCGGGGCGTTCTCCTGCCTGCAGGGCAGCTCCCTGCCAGCCGGGCTGGGCTCGCGAAGAGATTCGCTGACGGGCCACGTGCCTCCTCCGCGCCGCGGCACGTTCTGAGACTAGAACGTCGGCCGCTCGCGCCCCCCACGGCGGCAGGCGCAGCGGTACGTTCTCAGGCAGGAATCTCTCTTCCCCCGCCCGGCAGGCGCAGTGGTACGTTCTGAGGGCGGACGCGCAGACGCTCTCCCCACCAGAGGTAGTGGTACGGCCGCAGAGGGGGGCCTGTGACTTTCCCTCCCCCAGGCGGAGGGAGACGCCATTGCAGGGTTGTTTGTGCCGCCGCCGCGGGCTGGGGAGGGAGACCGCCGCGCTGTGAGCGGTGCTGAGGCTCCTGGGGACAGGGACTCTTTTCCCAGAGAGGATCATGTCCACTCCGGCCAGGCGGAGGCTCATGAGGGACTTCAAGAGGTGAGCGTCTCGCCTGGGCTGGGGCTCCCTGGGCGGGGGGTGCGTGCCGGGGTCGTGCCCTCCTGAGGGAGCACAGGGGCTCTCCTCATGCCCCCCCCCGTGGGTCTCCTTGGCGTCCCGCCATGCCCTGCGTGTAACAGGCGTGGGGAGCGGGGCAGGAGCCCCCCGGCAGCCCCACCGCAGGGCCGCGTACCTGTGGGGCTCGGCGGGCTACCCGGCAGCTAGCCCCTTGCTGCTGCGGGCTGGGAGCAGCTGTGGGCGCTCCCTGGCTTGGGGGAGGAAGCGCAGCGGGTTCCCCTTTCCTTTCCCACCCCGCTGCTGGGTTGGGGGCGGCGCTGGGAGCTGGGGGGTCAGGCCCAGGGGCGGCCGCCCGCCCGCCCGAGGCTGGCTTACAGGAGCTGCCCAGTCAAAGCCACAAGGCCTCGGGGCCTGGCGAGCTGTGCGGGCGTTGTTGCCAAGGTGTAAAGCAGGGGGCAGGCAGCCCTGTCAGGTGTCTCGGGTGTCTGCCTCAGAATCGGCCTGCCATGGTCTGGAGTCCAGTAGTGACACTTGGCTCTTGTACAGCCCTCTCCAGCCACTGAGCTCAAAGGACAGGTAGGTATTGCCGTCTGTGTTGTACATGGGGAAACTGAGGCCCAGAGAAGTGAAGTGACTTGCCCAAAGTCAGTAACAGAGCTAGAGATAGAATCCAGTCTGCTGACTCCCAGTCTAGAGCCTTGTTCACTGGACTACACTGAATCCCTTAATTCTCCAATGCATCAAGTCTGTGCACCAGTAAAGGGCTTCTCCATGTTCAGGATTTAATCCGCTTTATTTATCTTTGTCCCCTTTCTCCTCCCCCATGCTGGACTGTTCTTTGAAAGGGAGACTTAATAACACAGAAACAACCTTTTTGCTTTCTGGATTGTCTGCTCTCAAGGAATGCAAAAACCTCTCTTAATGCTGGTAAGAGGGCAGAATGCTGGTTTGTCAAAGCTCTGTTACTGGGGTGAAGACTACAGGACCAGCAGTCTTTTCCCCCCGTACTCCTTGGGACAGAGATGCCGAGCAAGTTTGGGTCTATATGGTAAATGCTGTTCCTACACGCACCTCTTGGAAAGAAAGTTAAGATATCCTGCCCCACTAAAGGGATTAGTTGAATCTCTGCCTCTGTAGGAAGGAGGCTGCTTTTGTTTTTGTTTAGGGTTACTTCCTCCAAAGCTCTCTGCTTCTTACTGTATGCTGACATCTGGAGGCATCTAAGGATAAAAGTCTGTGCTTATGTCTTTAAAACAATGGCCACTCTCCTTTCTCTGTCAACTGCTTGCATGAGAAATGTCCAAAGAACCTTTGATTGTATTGCCTTGGTTCTGTTAGGAAACCTGTATTATTCCCAAAAGCCACTGTGTATAGACCAAACACTCAGTTACAATGTTTACAGCAGTACATTCTGATTATAGCAGAGATTCCATGATGCAATAACCCTCTAATTCAGTGGTTCTTCACCTGGGGTGCACACACCCATGGGGGTGCAAGATGCCCTTTCTGGGGGTGCGAGACATGCCAGATTTTTTTAAAAGGTAAATCATCGAAAACACAAATTAAGCACAGGCATGTAAGTACAACTACTTTGTTTCATCAAACCTATGTATTTATTAACATTATACTTTTTTTTAACGATTACTGTAATATACAAACAAAAATATATCTAGGTTTAAAGAACTGACCTACTTCAATGATTTTTGATAAGGGGTGCGAGAACATATTTTGAGAACCAAAGGGGTGCAGGCTGCAGTAAAGGTTAAGAACCACTGTAATTTAAGGGAATTAGCTGTATGATGTCAATCTTTGCTTCAGGCTGGAACTTGACAGAGGAGGGAATATTGAGCCTGTAAATATTTATGCAGGTGTCAAATGCTTGTATATATGTTCATTATTCAACGAGTTAAGATTTTTTTTAAACACCTCTGGAGATCACACATCAACATTCTCTAGTTGTTTTTTGTAACTTTTTTATGGGTGTAGAAGTGAAATGCTTAGTGAATAAAGCGAACATTTTCAGAGATGTTCCCTCATTTTTTTTGAGCCTCTGTTTTTGGGTACCTGTCTTGAGGTACTTTGCTTGGTGGTTTTCCACCCTCCTTGCCCCCATCCTCCCAGTGCTGAAGATCCACAACTCCAGCGGAAGTGAATAAAATCAATAGGTTGTTGGCACCTCTGACTTGTCTCAAGATGAGCACACAGAACTACTAAACACTTCTGGACTCATGTATATGCGATTCTGGTTGATAGTTTCAGTCACACATTATTTTAAAATGTTTGTAAACAAGGACCTTTTTCTGTACATTAGTGAAAAAAATAGTTATATTCTGTTTAAAAAATGGTAAGTGCTGAACTACAGAGACTCTGGAACAACTGTTCCAGTTTGTCATTTAATTACATATGTTATGTACAACATCTGTTATGCATGTAGAAAAGCCTTTTAAAAGCAAATTGTTATGGGCTTTAAATTGTATGCTTTGTTTCAACATGATATGAATTAATGTGGCTGATAAATTATTGGAAATGAGTCTACTTTAATAGTGTTCCTTTTTAGGTATAGGTGTATTTGCTGGTACCACAATATTACATCCATAAACCATGGTCATATGTGTATCATATGCATTTGTAGCTTCACACAACCTTGTAATACAATATTAAAAGCTTGATTTGAACCTACAAAGCTAGGAACCTCTGAGCTGAGCCTTAGATGCTACTTAACTCACCCATTACATCTGGATATTGCATTATTTGAGCATAACATTTTTTAGTTCCCGTTAAATGAAAATAGGATATTAAATCTTTTTGCTTGTAGTGGGTCATGTAGATGGTAAAAATTAAAGTAATTATGATACCAGTAAAAGGAATAGCTGTTAGATAAAAAATCACTGCTTCCATCTATTTATTTATTGTTAAAATTGGAGGTGAAGTGGAGATTTTACATATGAGGGGAAAATGTATCTAAATAAATACATTAAAACATGGAATGGAATCTATCAGACATGTCATCTATTCATCTTATGCCTGGAAATTGAGATCACATATCTTTAAAATGTCCGAGTCTTAACTTAAGTGGGTGGGGAATATATTGTTTTGTTTCCTGCTTCTTTTAGGGTGACATAGCAGCCAGGACCATTCAGCTTACCTGTGCGGCTATGAAGTCTGATTACTGTTGGAATGTAAACTTGGTACAGTGACTAACAAGGTGGTGATGAGAGAGGAATTTGAGAGATTACATACATGAATACTGATTTTTGTCTTCTCTTTGAATAAAATTACAGAGAAATATTAATTTAATTACAACTTTTAGTTTTGCTTGTAGAAAAGGAATGTGAATGCTATAAATACCATATTGTTCCTAGCTCTTAAATATCTCTGGACTCTGTTCAAACAAGTTAAGTTTCCAGTTCAGGCCACACCACTCCACAAATTCTCTGTAGTTAAAGACCTCCCCACAGTGCAGTGTGTGAAACGTTGTCCTGATTTAAATGCCAAACCTATCTCTGAAGTGCATTTATAGAGATTAATGCTTAGGGCTTGGCATGCAATCTGGCTATCAGGTAGGAAAAAGTGACATTCCGTTTTGTCCTGGCCAAAGTGGTAGGTAGCTCATGCTGTTGACATTTAAGTTGTCTGAACTGAGCATGCTGAGAGAACAGGTTACTAGCCAAAATAGGCCTGTGTGGCCTGGCAAAATGTGGTCCATATAGTATCAAAAACATAAGAAAAACCTGATGTGTGTTCCCTTCTACTTGGTTCCAGTGTGTGCATCTGTGTGCATCACACAAATATAATTGGTTGGTTTCCACAACAGTTAAAGTTTAGATGTGTCAATTTGTGGTTATAATCATTTTCTCTTCAGGACTGTAGCCAGCGGGTGTTGTTCTGAATGCTCATTTCATCATTTGCTATGTGGTATTTTAAACCAGATGTACAAGATGTTTCATAACTGCTCTTGTATTTGATGCTGTGTTCCATGCATGATGAAACATATACTTCACTTATTTATTTAGTGCTGATCTGTCTTTATATATTGACAAAATATTTGAAGAGAAAATCCTGATCTGCATCCCTTGGTGGGCTTCTGTCTCTGGGATATTTAATGTGCATATAACACTGAAGTATGTAGTTTGTGTTCTAAACCACAGCCTGAATTCTCTAGTCTAGAAGGAGAAATGAGTACAAACTCTGGATATGCTGACACATTTCTGAGTATTCTGTTTTGCTTGTGTGTGTGTGTGTATATATATATATAATTATATATATAATTTTAACATGTATATCTTTCCATATTCTAATTTTTTAATTGTTAGATTGCAAGAAGACCCTCCTGTGGGTGTCAGTGGTGCACCATCTGAGAATAACATTATGCAATGGAATGCAGTTATATTTGGGTAAGAGAAGACTTTTGCTCACTGCAGAGAAGATAATACTAAATCGTTAAATATAAGTTAGATAATGGCTGATTCTGTGAAAACGCTTGAGACTATGTGCGTGTACTAAGTCAAAATGCTGAGTATGAGACAAACTGGCAAAAATTAGTAAGTATATGTTTATGAGGAAAGAGGTTTGTATGGTCTATAGCCTTGAATACTGAGGCACGGTAGAGCACACAAGAAAAGTAGCTACATTTTTGTCCTGATGTAGCCTTATAATGTACATTTTCTTGTCTTTTTAAAATTTTGTATCAATTCATAGTGAAAGCAAGGAGATGGTTATGTTGAAGATTGGGTAGGAAAACAAGAAAAGGCAAGATTCCCCCTGAGAAGCACATAAGAATTCCATGCCCTTTGCAGATAAATTTAGATGTGTTAGCAGTGACCAGATTGGTTTACAATACAATTCTGTGGGCAGAACTTGTCTAGTTACATTAGGTATCTCATGGATTGGGAACCAATTCGGTCTTTTATCATAAATCCTAGTACTTTGTTAGTGACCTTATTGCAGTTTTAGTGGAATCTGAATCTGCCCATTGATTCTGGTCATCCCCATTTTATGAAATACAGTTATTGTCCTGGATCAATAGTTCTTAATCCAGAAATTTGATTTCTTACAAAGTTACCAGTTTAGTAGGAGAATACTTTGGGTATCCTGGGAAATATCAAAGAATTACATCTTAATTATTTACCCCTTTCTCCCCCCTTTCCTTTTTTCATTTTTGCCTCTATTTCTGATTTGAAAGGATGGGGGAGGTGTGGATGCCTGTGTAAAAGTAGATAATATATTTATATTTGTATTTTTTATTTCTAGGCCAGAAGGTACCCCTTTTGAGGATGGTAGGTAGCTAATTTTTTTTATTCTCTTCTTCTTTTGTAAATGGCCCCAGCATTACTTTTAGGAAGGATTTTTATATTTCCTATATATAAAATGTTGGGGGTGTGTGTGTGTGTTTGTTCGTGTTTTGTTTTGTTTTTTTAGCCATAATACACACAGAGCTTAATTTTGAAATAGAAAAAACAAGCCAACAAACAATGTGAGTTGGTAAGGGCTTGCTATCTAACGGACACGACAGTATTTTGACCAAAACTAGTGCCAGTGCGTTGTCTTGTCTTTAGAGTGGTTGATGAGTAACTGTAAACCTGTGAAGCAGTGGCCATATCTAGAAGTGTTTATATACAGGGAGAGTGGAATGTTCAGTAGGAGATGCTGAAGGCTAATACCATCAGACTGTTTCATACATCTTATGCCTAATCCCAAAGAGTTTTCATGCTCTCTGGTTATATAGGGCTTTGTCTTTAGCACATGATTCTGATTCACCTTTGTGTTGTTTTCATTTAAGAGCAAGAGGAAATAACCTTGAATTGATCGCTTAATGAAAAAGATCAGATTGTAAACAAACACGAAAGAACTGTATAAGTGTAATGTCTACTGTATATGCAGAAAGCGGGGTGGGTGTCAGTTAAAGAATTATTTGTCAGAAACTCATTGCAATGATCTGCAAGAAGTGGTCATTAAGAAGGGGGCTTTCTAGTTTTCTTGTAAGTGAGAAAATAGCTTAGTGGGGTTATTTTCTTTGGGGGGGGGTGAAGGGAGAGGTTGGGTAGAAGTGGATGGAAATTGGTTGGAATTGGTGATATGTGGCATATATATTCACTGGTCCTTAATAAATATTTTTCAGTAAATCAGTCTCAAGTTTTAAAGGTTGAAGCCATTTCTTATAAAAATCCATCTTTTCATGTACTGGGCTCAGCCATAGTCCATTTTTAGATCAAACTCCTATAGATTTCAATGACTAAGCACTGGAAGGTCAGGCCAACTGAAGAGACTAAAATAGCTAGTGGGTGGTGATAGTGGTTATTTTTAAATTGTTTATTAATGGTGTCCATAGAAATTCAGTAGTTCTCCTTTAAAAAAATTCTTCTTTAGAAGTGTTTGATCAAGGCAGGAAAACTCTATCTTCTGATCCACTGAATCCCCAAAACTGTCAAAACAGGAACCATTTGGAAACTTTGGCTGAATAAAATGGCAGATTAACGTTGGCTCGCTCGCTCTTTTTATTTTTTTAACTATTGGACACACATAGTTGTCCAAAAACTTCCTGTTATCCAAATGCAGTGTCACCTCCTCAGCATCTGGTAATTACATAGAAAATCCTCCAGTGGTCTGAACTAAGCGTCAGTTACGATTTTTAGATAACTGAAGTTGTACTCTATTTAAATAGTTGCTTTTCTGTGTATTGAGTAGGCTTATCTAAATTTTACAAAGATGCTGATGCTATTTTTGTTCATAGCAATATGTGTCAGTTTTATTGGCATTTGAAATATAAATAGTACGTTGTCAAGTGTTCACAAAGATATTTTGATACAATTATAGTTACATGATGTTTGTATGTTTGCTTTTTTGGACAGGTACTTTTAAACTAATAATAGAATTTTCAGAAGAATATCCAAATAAGCCTCCCACTGTTAGGTTTTTATCAAAAATGTTTCATCCAAATGGTGAGTATTCATACTTTTTTAGCCAAAACAAATATAGAATAGGATAGTGTGATATCACAGCCTGTGAAGCTCAGCAGTGTTTAACATTTTTTTTCAAAGTAGATGTACAGTATATCAGATGTTCAGTAAAAATCCCGATGCCAGGAAAGTTAATTAGAAGAAGCTACTCCTGCATTCTGTAATCATTGTGTAGTCTTCTTAGCTAATGCAAATATTAGTCAGTGTGGAAATGAAATATCTTGGAACACTATTGATATCCTACTGTCTTATAGCCAATGTAGGTTTCTAGGAACTTTCCATTTAAGCAAGATGCTTTATTTCTGGGTCACTTGTCTCCTGCTCTCACTAAAGTCAAACACTTAATTTTTTTCCTTCTGCTCCTTCATTTTGAGGAAGGTCTTTTGGATAGTCCTTTTTACTTCCTTGTTCCACTGCACCTACCTGTGTTGAATAGTGGCAGTCTTCTGTTTGGCAGAGGAGACCTTGGTGTATTTTTTATTTTTATTTTTTACAAAGCTTACCAATGCTGGTCTTGCAGCCTGCTAGAACGATATAGTCATGCTCCTAAAAACTGAATGTACTACTTCTGAAGTATTGCTGGCCTAAGCAGCAAGGGACTGAATTCAGACCCTAATACCTGTCACTAGCTACCTGAGGCTATGTCTATGCTACCATGGTAAGTTGACCTAAGTTACGCAATTCCAGCTACATGAATAACATAGCTGGAGTCACTGTAGCTTAGGTCGACTTACTGCGGTGTCTACTGTGCTGGGTTGACAGGATACATTCTCCCGTTGATTTACCTTACTCCTCTCATTCCCAGTGGAGTACTGGGGTCGACTGGAGAGCATTCTGCTGTCGATTTAACAGGTCTTCACTAGACCCGCTAAATCGACCCCTGGCGCACTGATTGCCGGAGCGTCGATCTGTTGTGTAAACATAGCCTGAGTTGTGACTTCCTCTGTTGTGTGCATCTCTCCTTTGCTCTTAGTTTGTTTTTGTTTGTTTTTTCTCTGTTCCCCTTTTTCATCAGGATTACACTTGCTTTATGTGTGCATGTGTGTCACAATCCTGCACCAATTCAAGTTAGCAGGAATATTAACTTCACTGGGAGCAGGACTGGGTCCTTAGTGCTTCTCCAGTCATGCTCCAGAGACACTTCACAAGACACTTGGCCCTGGTCTACACTGGTGGGGGGGGGGGATCGATCTAAGTTATGCAACTTCTGCTACGTGAATAACGTAGCTGAAGTCAGCGTACTTAGATCGACTTACCGTGGTGTCTCCACCGCGGTGAGTCGACTGCTGCCGCTCCCGTTGACTCCGCTTGTGCCTCTCGTGGCGCTGGAATGCAGGAGTCGACGGGAGAGTGCTCAGGGATCGATTTGTCGCGCCTAGTCTAGATGCGATAAATCGATCCCTGCTGAATCAATCACTGTCCACTGATCAGGCGGGTAGTGAAGACATACCTTTGGTGTGAGGGGTAGATGAAGTGTATTTTTCCTCCTTCTCTAAGAAGCAGCAAAGGAGTATAATTATACTTCTGCTGCTCAAGAATACTAGTGCTCCTGTTAGGCAAAAACTGAGTGAAGATCGCTGGCATCACATCAGTTTGATTCAGCACTGTGGCAGATGTAGCACCAGGATGATTCTTCCATCACATGGGCCATGAGAAATGTAGGCATCCCCTACCCAAATTCAAATCTGCCTAATCATTTCTTTCTCCCCACTGTGAAACATAAAGAATTCCAGTATCTCTTTTTTAGGTATTTTATATGGTCCTTATTACCATAGTATGAGTTCCTCACAATCGTTTAACATAATTATCTTCACAACACCTCTGTGAGGTAGGGAAATACTGTTATCCCTGGTTTACAGATAGGAGACTGAGTCACAGAGAGACTAAGTGACTTGCCCAAGATCAAACAAATGGAGGAGGGAATTGAACCCAGACCTCCCACATTCCAGGCTAGAGCCCTAAGTACTGGACCATCCTTCCTCTCCTCTTATGTTACTGAAAGCAAACAAATTATGTATTTTCCCCTAAATACAAGGTATAAAACTGGGGTTCTTACAGATTCTTACAGAAATACTCTCTTCAGAAGTCCACTTTATTTCCCTTTTTCATGCTTCCTAAAATGTTTAGTGAAACTGAATTGTCATATCCAATATAAATAGTGCATCCATTCATGCAGTGTTTAATCACAACAGATTAAAGATGGCCAGAGTTTTAAATAATTTCTATGTTCTGTTTACAGTTTATGCGGATGGTAGCATATGTTTAGACATCCTTCAGAATCGCTGGAGTCCAACATATGATGTTTCATCTATTTTAACTTCAATTCAGGTAATTTTTAGCAAGCTAAGTATATGATGATTACCCTCCTTCACAAAACCAATGACACAGTGACATAGACAGACAGCATCAACACCAATGAACTGTACTCAAAAGTAATCAAGAGCTTTTAAGCTTATTTCAAAGACTAATTAGTTGATGAACTATATATTCACTGTATTTCTAAGCAATAAAAATAATCCTGACAGGGAATGCTTATAGGAGGTCATTTATTTGGATTCATTTTTCTAACCATTATTATTCCAGATGGGACAATGGGTGTCAGTAATGTTCATGTATTTAAGGCCAGGGTGTGTGTGAGAAATTTTAACTATTTTATTTTGAAGCCTATGTTTTGTTATGCTTACGAAATTGTTAGAGAGACAGTATTATTGGAATCCAGCTACTTCGACTGCATTAATTTAGGATGGAACTATTTCATATGTTAGGCTTACTTCTGTGGGAATTCTGTGCCAAAAAATTAAAAATTATGTGCACAATATTTTAAAATTCTGTAAAAATCTGCATATTTTGTTTGTCAAAATAACACAATGTAATCACTCCATTTTCAATTATTTTGGTATTTGATTTCAAAATACCTGTCAAGTGTGTCAACAATACACATAACAAAAGAGATTCCCTCAGGAGTAGAGAGTTAAAGAAACCCCTATGACAACTTAGTTCCAGTTGGGGGGTGCTGGAGGGGGCTGTGGGATACCCTCCTCCCCCCAGTGGTGAGGCACCCCCTGACCTAGACATCCTCACCCCCAGAGCCTTTATTCTCCCAAGCTTCTTTACTGTTCCACCTGGTATGTGGTGAGGTGCAGCCCTGGTCTTCCTCACCCTTTGCCAGACCTAGGTCTCCCAGGCCCTCTCCCATCCCAGGGAGAATGAAGAGGCTGGGTGCTCCACTCAAGAGCTGGGCTCTGCAGAGTCCAGCAGCCCCTATTGACATCCAGCAGCTCTGCAGCCCCATTCTGTGGGGGGTGGGAAACATAAAATTCTGATTTTGCAGTGGCACAGAATTCCCCCAGGAATATAGGGCTTGAGCTAGTTGTAGAATCAACATCCTGTTGTTCCCCATGGTGGTCCTTTTAATAATGAAATTACTATCTAGAACATAATGGTCCAAGTATCTCATTTTTTTTTTTCTTTCCCCCGTCCTCTCACAGTCTCTGCTTGATGAACCTAATCCAAACAGTCCTGCAAACAGTCAGGCAGCACAACTTTATCAGGAAAACAAACGTGAATATGAGAAAAGAGTTTCAGCTATTGTTGAGCAAAGCTGGAACGATTCATAATAGATGACTACTTTGTTAATCTTCCTCCTCATGATCATTGGGTACAATTTAACACTCAGTAGAAAGGCTACCAGAAATTTTAAGTGCCAGAAGTTCTAAGGATTTGCATACCAACATGTTTGCAAAAAAAATTAAGCCCTTCAGTTTAGAAACTTTAAAAGCTTGTGTATCTTGATTAATGTACTTTTTATTGCATGGTATGAACTAAGTTATTGCTACATAAATTTGTAATATATCCTGTTTGTATTTTTTTCCCAAGTGTATAATGTTGATGTGGAGTTTTCATGAAAGAATATACACATTTTGTAAATCTGTACTTTTTCAAATATTGAATGCCTTATTTTTGAATTCTTTAGATTTTTAAATTGGAGAAAAGCACTTAAAGTTTTTATATATAAATATTACATGTAAAACTGTTAAATACATAACCTCAGTGCAAGACATTCTTTTGTTACTTTCTTTTGTATCTCTTTCAAAGGGCTTAGTTTTTAAGTGTTGAATCTTTCTCTTGATAAATGCTAATATTATGCACTTTACAAATATGAGGAAAACTGTGCTGTGATGTGTAACTCATTAATAGTGTTCAGTGGAGACATGCTTACCTACACTGGAGCTTAATTTGGTCCTGTAAGTCTTCTCGCGCATATGAGGTAAGGAAGTATCTGCCTCATTTTACTGACTGGGAAACTGAGGCACAGATAAGTGACTTCTCCAGAGTCACACTGCACGTCAGTGGCACAGCTGCAAACAGAACCCATATCATCTGACTCTGCCCTGTGTTTTGGCCCCTAGGCCATCCTTTTTCTCACTAATATAAACTTTATTAGTATCACTGTTACATCTATAATAGGGGTCAGCAACCTTTCAGAAGTGGTGTGTCCAGTCTTCATTTATTTACTCTAATTTAAGGTTTCACGTGCCAGTAATACATTTTAACGTTTTTAGAAGGTCTCTTTCTATAAGTCTATAATATATAACTAAACTATTGTTGTATGTAAAGTAAGTAAGGTTTTTAAAATGTTTAAGAAGCTTCATTTAAAATGAAATTAAAATGCAGAGCCCCCAGGACCGGTGGCCAGGACCCAGGCAGTGAGTGTGCCACTGCAAATCAGCTTGCGTGCCGTCTTTGGCACATGTGTCATAGGATGCCTACCCCAGATCTATAAGATGCTTAATAGCTTGTCACATGCAGGGGAAGTATTAATGACTTCACAGGTCTTTCACATCTCATATTAACACGTATGAAATAGGTTCACTATAACTTGATCTCTGATCATCCAAAATTGAGTAATACCTAAATAAGAGGTCTTGTGTATTATTATAGAAGTTGATACATAATAGGATATTATTATTATTATTTATTATATTTACTCTTAAATTGTGAATATGGAATTTTCTGAATTTTATCTAATAGATTTAGGTAATGCTTGTCAATCATGTATCACATACTGTTACTGAGATGTATTTTTGATGTTTGTTTTCTAATTGTAGCCATACAGTTGGGTCTCCTACCCATTCCAGCTAGAAAACAAACTGCAGGATGATTTCAGCGAACTACATTTTAAATATGACTGTAAAAGTGACATTGTCTAGTTCCGTGTCTGTTTCTCAGAGACTCAAGATCAAATTTGTTTAGTTTACAATTAAAGTGAGGTGGGGTTTTTCTAATTGCCACTTTAATAACTTCTCCCTGCAGTCGGAAAGTTAGGTTGGGTCCCTGTAATATCACATCATCTGTAATAAAGATTTTACAGGCTCTGTTTTGTCCCCAGTGATACACATGCAATCTTTAGACTTCAGATTCCATCCTCCATTACCTGCATACAACCATGCAGCCTCTAAGGGGGTTGTACAAGTATAAGGCATGACAAGAAACTGTATTTCTATCTTAGTTAACAATTTTGCTGAGGATGCACAAGCCAGCACAAACTTATTTTTATCGTTAAACTAAGGACTTGTCTACACAGGGAAGTAAGTGCAAAGTAAGCTAGGGTTTGAATTTAAAGCACACTAGCTATTGCCTACCAGCTACCCATGTGGACACTTATTGTGCATTGAATGCCTGTGGGTAATTTAGCCTAATGAACTTCCAGAGTGTAGGAAGCTACTGTGCACAAAAACATTTTTAGTGTGCAGTAAGAGTGTCTACTGGGGCAGTTAGTTCAGAATAGCTAGTGTGCACCAGCTGCTGTGGACTTTTTCCCATGTAGACAAGCCCTTGGCATACATTGAAAATACACGGGATATCGACGCAGCAAAGGTGTTGATATTAATCACTTTGCCAAACTGCATTTTAAGGATTAATTTGTAAGACATTGTACGAATGTGTAATAAAGGGAGCAATGTAAATATATGCCAGTGTATTGCTCAATACTCCACTTGGAAAAAACCAGAAGTTTAATTTGGCCCCAGTTAGAAACTAAAAGACTCTATGAAATGCTGACCGGTAAAAGCAAGCTCTGCCTTTATTGGTACACTACTGCAGTAAACAGTTGTATTATAATTTTTCATGAACTATTTACTGACTTTTGAATGTATTGATATTCGATTTTAAAACTGGAACTGAAACAGTATATGCCCAACAGAGAAATGCCATCCAGTTGAATCACCTTGCTCAGCTAATTACAGTACATAATGAAAATAACTTTGTGTTGGTCATCCTTAACATTATGTGCCTCTTCCTCCCTCCAACCATAGATTGAATATATTCATCCAGAATGGTTAATGAAGTTCACCTCATTGTCCTTCAGATTCTCTTCTGTGATGCATATAAAAAAATTGACAGTGGTTAGGCAGCTGGTTGACTGTGACTGCTGCTTATTATACTGACCTGTGTTGTCTCATTTTTACCTTGAACTTTCCTCTCTAGTGCATCTGCCTGTGGTCTCTCATCTTATGCTTAAGCTGTAAGCTCTTCAGGGCTGGGACTGTGTCTGTGTTTATATGGGGCCTGGAACAGTAGGTCTCAGATCTATGGCTGGAGCCAATCGGTGCTACTGTAATACAAATAATAACAGAACTGTGGGATGTTAAGAGAAGACTTATACCTGATCATAGATAAATTTGAGATATATCTCCACATTGAAAAAACATTGTCAAATTACTGTTTCAAACACACAGCTATGACGGTAGTTCTCTGCACAGTTGTTTCTGGAGAATGTGGCAGGGATATTAGAAACTAAGCTCCTAAGATTGCATATATTAATTTTAAATCTTTTGAAGAACATGTTCCATTATGTTACTATAAGAGCTATTTAGATGACTAATTTATTAATGTTACTTTCCTCTATAGCCACAAGTTTAGACTAGCGCTATGTATTTCAACTTCTTGATAAATATATGCTTTTATTTAAAATGACTGAGCAGCTTTGAGGAATGGGAATGTTTTGAATTTTCCATCCCCAGAAGCTCTTGATACAATCTGCTGCTTAAACAGATTGTTTATAGTCTTTGTAACTCAGGGGACTGATTTAAGCAAGAATATTAAAGAAAGATGAATGTACAGAAGTTGGATTTTGCGCTAGCCCATTGCAAATATAACAGTAGTTTTACTTTCTGACTACTCTCCAAACATGGTCTTTGTTGTGGTTCTGGTAACATTGCATAGCTATGAGCAGTACTTGTGGACTGAGATATAGAAGTACAAGTGTCACTCTAGCCACTTTTATATTAGCAGACGTGCCAGATAATTTAGGCCTGCTCATACAATCACCTGAAGGAGAGGTTTGCTGTTGCAGAAGCAGATCCTTAACCCTTAGGAAACTGGCCAGTTCCCATGGGGTTGCAATGTGAGCAATAGGTAATTTGAAGGGCTTTAGGGCACCGTAGTACAGATGAGGCTAGGTCTGTTTCTGCTGGAAGGAGGGGCTAGCTGAGGCCTCCTGCCTGAAGGGAGTGTCACTCTTCCTTCCCCTCCCCTTCTTGGGGATACTCCCTCTCCTCAGCCAACCTTCTCTATGAGATGCCTTTCCTTCCACCAATGTAGCAGGGGAAAGGTGGCACTGGTCTGCAGCAGTGAGCGAGGTGGGGGCTGGACGTTTCCTTACACGGAATCTGGATCAGCTCTGGGAGGAAAAATGGGATGGTTGCTGAGAGCAGGTAGGTGCTGTTTGGGGGTGAGAGAATGAGTACTGTTCTAGTGGTCGTGACAGGGATAGAAAGATAAGGAACTCCTAATTTTTTATGAGGGAAGGCTGAAATGGGGTGATGTGCCTAAGACAAGTATCTAGCACCTCAGTTTACTTATTCTTAAGGGTGCTGAGTGGGGACAGCAGCTTTTCGTGGCTTGGGTAAATAGAGATCATTACAACTTCCCCTCTCTGGCTGGTGCAGTGAGAGCTTCCCCTCCTCTGTCTACTGTAATCTGCTTAAGAGTAGTTACTATTTCTTTCAACACTTGGCTGAGAGAGATCATTGCTCATAGTTGCTTGAAATTGATATTTCTGAATTCTGATTTGTGCATTAGTACAGTGATGGTGTTTTCTTTCTGTATTTTGTTTTAAAGGAATAGTAATTTGAAAGGATGTAGAATGAAGATCTTTAATTTTGTCCTTCCACTTAAAAGTCCTTCCCTATTGCTAGTCTAAACTCACTGTACCAACTTTAGTAACCACTTTTCAGCTGTAATTTTCTACATTGCAACTGAAGCACAATAAAACGGAAAATAGAAAATTATTACAAAAAACATGACTTTCTAAAAAGGTGGTCACATGACTGTTAAATAATGCTGACCTCCTCTAGTGGAAAAGTCATAAATATACTCGCTGCAGGTTTCAGTTCTGATAAGCCAGGTGCAAGAGTGAGTAATTAGGCAGAAATGTATGGGATATCTAGGGAAGAATATTTTTGGGAAGCAAAGTCTTCAGTTCCCAAAGTCCAGGACACACACACTCAATGTAGTTCTGCAACTCAAAGGTAAGCAGAAAGAAAAAGAGTACTTGTGGCACCTTGAGCTTTCGTGAGCTACAGCTCACTTCATCGGATGCATACTGTGGAAAATACAGATGATATTTTATACACACAAACCATGAAAAAATGGGTGATTATCACTACAAAAGGTTTTCTCTCCCACCACCCCACTCTCCTGCTGGTAATAGTTTATGTAAAGTGATCACTCTCCTTACTCACTCTAAGGTGCCACAAGTACTCCTTTTCTTTTTGCAAATACAGACTAACACGGCTGTTACTCTGAAAGGTAAGCAGAACACTAGCCACTTCATAAGAAAGTGAGTGCAAACAATGATACAAATTAAAATGTGTGTTTATTTCCACACTCAGCTTTTTGTAAGATGGCTGCTACTCCTTAGTAGAGTCCCCAAAGCCATTGGGAAATACATACACAGTAAACTGTTGTAAAACACTTAGGGCCCAATCCTGCAATTGTTCTGAACATACAGCTCCCACTTCTAGGAGGTATGCATACAGAAGGATATCTTCAAAGGAATAATTGAGTGGTCTAAATGTCAGATGCTTTAGAATAGATTCTTTGCATCCATAGGTTTAAATGCTGGCTGGATTGAATTTTCAAAGGTAGATAAAAGCAGCACCATGGCAAGTATGTATATACACACTAGATAGTGTGACTTCACTGGTACTATTAACACATGTAATGTTACTTGTGTGCCTAAATGGTTACAAGATCAGAGCCACAGTTTGTAGCTCATTAGCCAAACCTATTCACTAGCTGTACAGTACTAAATATTTTCAGGAGACTTTTTACATTCATATTACAAAAGCTTTCAGTGATGGTCAGTCAGCGTTCTTGCATCGCTTCCACTTAATAAAACATTGCACGTAATGTGTGTTGCACTTGCAATGATCTATGGCCAAACCCAGCCTCCACAGTCATTAACAAACTGCCTATGTACAGCTTTAGAAATAGAACTCTGGACCTTTCGTATCAAATGGGAGAACCAGCTTCCCTAAAGGGGCAACCAAAGGAAATAATGCCGCAGCCTTAACGTTCTGTCAAGTGCACAACAGGTGTGATACTACACACTGTTAGCTACTGTATGAGGGGATATCATCAGTGCTCCACATTAACTTCTGGAAAATATGGGCACAATGCAATACGTTTACAGTGTCTTAACCAGAGTTTAGGCACATAAAGCAGTTCAGTGTAACCTCCGCTCAGAAAAGAGGCATTGTAAAAGAAACTGAAGCTGTTCCTTTCTAATGCAACTTTAAGCTTTTGCTGTCTGCCCAGCTTTGAGAGAGAGAACATGATACAAAGGGAAGAATTCTGCTGCCACAACAGCACGAAGAGGCTGAAAATCAGCTCTAGTTAAGTATAGAAACTCAAAGTAAGCTGCAATAAACTAATTTAAGAGGTATGCATGCTTTTTCAGAATGCAGTTCTCCTTCCACTTTAAACAAGTTTTACACCTCAGTATTTCATCCAAGTGTGGTTAGCAGTTGGCCAGAGCAGCAGTTTTCTGCTATATATTATCCATTTTCCTTTTATTGTCCCTGGGATACCTTCATAAGTTGAAGCTGGTAGCTCATTCAGATTATGAAAAACGTTCTTGGAACTCTAGTAAATCTTAATAAACCAAACCTACTGTTTATTACACCCAGCTGAGCACTGCCATATTAAACATGGGTGATGAGTATAAAGAGGGCTTGGTAAAGCCCCATGGAGGGGCTAATGACATTTCCATTCATTGGAGATTTGAAATTTGACTAGAATTTTTTTTCATTTTAGACCATGGCTCTTTTATTCCTACTGGCCCCTGCTTCCCTATTATCTTGACACTGATCTGATTCTTAAACACAATAGAAAAACGTTTATCAGTTCCTACTGTTCTTGGTTTGGCCCCCGATGTGGGGGGGACGGGACCTATGCCTTCACAAAATAGGTAAAACCAAAAGCTTGTTCTACTCAGCATTTTAACATTTCTTACATTGTTTCAATAGGACCTCCACTTATACCATGATTTTGATGCAATGTTATAAATGCAAGAGCATATGTATGTCAACTATTGTGTTAAGAATGCAAGACTGGGAGTCAGCAGATCTGGGTTCTGTTTCCAGCTTTGACACTGGCCCTCTCTGAACCCTGGTCTACACCAGGAACTTATATCAACAGAGCTGTCTCTCTCAGGGGTGTGAAAAGAGACATATCTATGCCAGCCTAACCCCCTGTGTAGGCAGCGTATCCGCAGAGAATTCTTCCATGGACCTAGCTACCACCTCTCTGGGAGGTGGATAACCTATGCCAAAAGGAGAAATCCTCCTATCAGCATAGGTAGTGTCTACGCTGAAGCGCTGCAGTTGTGCCACTCTAGCGGTTTAAGTGTAGGCATATCCTGAGACCTTGATCAAGTCACTTAATCCCCTCAGACTGAGTAGCTTAATTAGCTAATGTCTAAAGCATATTCAGAGAAACAGATGAAAATCAAAAAAGCACAAAATAGCCTTCTTCTAAAATGTCTGGTTAATACTTGCAAATCATGACACCGTAATTGAGTTGAAAGTTTGCTATCCAAAACTGTATTTAACACAGCTGAAAAATACATCAAACCCAGACTTAGGGTACAAGGTATCAGCAAATTTGAGAGATTTTAACCTTTAGAAGCTACAGGCTCTAGGTCATCAGTCCTCCCTCTCTCAAGGCATAGCACAACCCCCAGACAGTGATCTATCCCTTCCCCATAAGGAAGCTTGACCCTACTCAACCAAATTCTAATATAGAATATTTTATACTGTTATCACACCTTCCATCAGAGAATCTCAAAGCACTTTACAAACATTAATGAATTAACCATTACAATCCCCTTGTCAGATAAACAAGTACTATCCCCATTTGTGTCTCAGTTTCCCAATCTGTAACAGAGACAGGAAGTGATTTTACCTAGTGCCACATGGCAACCTGGATTTCCTGACTTGGAAGTCTGTGCTTCGGCCACTATGTCATCCTTCCTCTCCTTCAGCCCAGCACAAACTTTGTGGACATGGGCTACAGAGTCCAGCCTCACCAGCTGCCCCTCACTATTCACAATCACTTTACTGACTCAAGTCCAATAGGTTTGCATGCAGTCTCTAGACACAGAAGTTCAGATATAGGGGGGGTGACATCCTAGCTCCACTGAAATCAGTGAGGCCAGGACATTAACTTTTCTTTTAAATATGCATTTTGTAATTGTGTGTGTTGATTTAAAACATCAGTTTGAAAAAACATTGGCAATAGCAACAGTTATTCTGTGTAGAAGTGGCGCTACTAACCCCAATACCCATGTAACTCTGTGTAAACTGATGTAGTCTTCCCAAGTCTGCAGGCAGCCTGAACATGAAATTTGAATTCTCATTTATGTCAGTGGGGTGTTAGCTCTGAAAACTACTGATAATTTAAATGTCAGCAGCTAACTACTTCACTGCTGATCAAATGAGCAGAACAAGTCAGCGAATGTGCTGATTCCAGAATCCCAAAACTGCCTCCTTTTGCGTATCTAGATTTTAAAAGCCCCAACACGCAAAATCCTCCAGCTTCCCATTACTTCTATGATACAATTATACATTGGTCAGTACAGTCTGTAGTACTGTCTGTGCAGGGACAAACAAAATAAATTGAATATCAAAACAACACAAGTTACTGTAGTGATTGTATTCATTTTTATATTTAATGCAATAAAACATTAATTCAGTTTTAAATGTAAATATAGCTACTGCAGAATCTCCAGTCTGCGGTACCACAAAACCCATGGAGCTTGCTGCACTATTAAGGTCCAGAGCACAAAGGATCTTGACCTCATTTATGAAATGGCTACTGTAACTCCATGGTGATTGGAATGGACTTTCCAGAAAGGCAATTTATCAATGGAGGCAATGCTTTTGGTAACTGATCGGCTTACCAGTTTGGCACTTACACTATTTAAGCCTCTGTTCAGATGAGATCTTCAGCATTTCCCCTGACACTTCCCAGAGATTACAAGATACATGTGAACAAATCTATGGCAACTGTTTTTCATTTGGAAGTTTACTAATTTAAAGTATTCTGGGCCCTTGATTCCAATGGGCTTTGGATCAGATCCTGACAGAACAGCAGTAGATATGTTTTATCTAAATAAATTTTCGAGAGAGGGAATTCACTTTACATGAAAGGAACATGGTTTTATTGCTAAAAATCAAAAGACAGTTATCCAGATTTCATGATTGAAATTTTAATTCCAGTGATTGAATGGAGATACAGTTATTAGGCCTTCTAAAGACTTTAAAAATGTGGCATAAAACACTTAAAAATAAAGACTTTTAAAAAGAGAATATTCTGTGTTACTTTTAGACTCCTAGGGTTCCCCTGCAGTAGAGAGAAACTCTGGGGAAGAGTGATGCAGGTATGCAAAGGGGAAAATCAGCTAACTGGGACATTTACCATCACCATAGACCCATCTAAGTTGCATGTCAGAAAAGGGGAAGAGCAGGGTAATGGCCTCTTTGTGTGCCATGCCCTCCCTTTCCCGTTACACGGAATGAAACCCGGGTAAAAACAATATTAGTCAATGCTCAAAACAGCCTTATAACATCCCCTTACTTTCAACTGAGAGTGAAGTGTGAGCTCCTGCTTTCCTAACTGGGTGTGTGCTTTGAGGCAAGTATTCCCCGTGGCCTCTCATCCTAAACTGGACTCATTGGTCATTACACAGAATTGTCCTCAAACAGAAGAGGGGATGCTGCAGCTCCCCAGCACCCTCCCCTCTTTTCTGGGAGTTATTACTCTTCCCTGTCTTCATATAAGAGAGGAAAATATAGTCCATCATATCTTTTTCTTTGCTCTACGAATCAATGAGTTGTAAAATAGTTTAAAAACCTGATTCTCTCATTTTAAAAAGCTTTGGAAGTGGATATCCATCATCATAATGGCACAAAGTTTTTTAAGAAATCCTTTCCCTAGGGTCCAGCATAGGGAGTCGTTTTAGAAACAGTATGGTCAATTAACACTGGGTCCTCCACATAAACTGATCCTGTGTCATGACAACAATTTGAGACCTCCTCTTCTCAAGTACTAATGCTGATGCTAAAAATAAAGAGAAAACAAATTATGTATTTGTAATATGGAAATGCTCATGGTAGTAAAAGCAAATGATACTTGAATTTTTACTCCAGTGAAATATTAGGTAGAAAGAAGATATGAGTACTTGATATCTTGCAACAGAAAATTCTGTAGAATACAGCTAGTATCTATTTCTTGTTATCCACAAGGCAGAGCAAATTTAGTTTACATCTGCTGGCAATAATCAAAATACTTAAAATAAAATCTTACTCCAAAACAGTTAGCAATACAGTTACTTGAATGGTTAGAGTGTTCTAAATTTAAAATAGCAAAACCTATAGAGCAATTTTCAAATTTGGCTGTAGTGCTGAATAAAGTAATTGTGGGATCTGATCTTTATTCATTTCTGAATGTAACACTCTCTAATTGTAAAAGTACGGCCACCAAGAAAGTAAAACAAACAACCTGCTTAACATTTTTTGGCACTGAATGAAAATTTACATTCTGTTTTAAACAGCATGAAGAACTCACACTGAATTTTACCTATATTAGCTTTAGAGGATTTCCTTAGCATAATAAAGTACAAGACTTACGCTAGGAAGTAATAAAGTAGGTTTTGTGTAACTTCTTGTAGAGTTTTCAAGGAATAGTTTTATTTAATCCCCATTAAATAAGAAAAAAAGTGCTTCCATGTGCACCTGTCTGTGTGTATGCGTGCGTACACTTAAAGACCAAACTCTGTGTTTGTGATTTTGCAAGCAACTAGATTTTAATAATCCAAATTGTTTAGATTTGCATTTTAAATTATAATTTAACTCCCTGTAAAGCCCAGAACCAACTTTGGGAGATAAAAGCCCAAGTATTTTCAGCATGACCATATAAAAATGTCATTTAATAAGATTTAGAATCCTCTCTTCACCTGCTTATATATCCAAAAAGTATCAAACAACTAAGAGAACAAAGAAATCATAGCCATTAAAATTATATCTATCTTTTAAAATCCCAGTTATCTCACAGTAACTGCCCACTTAGGAGTTTGCTATCCTAGAAAATGATAAAAATACAGGAGATCTCCACCAAAAATGACCACCATTTTCAGAATACAACAATTTGGAACCATTTTATTATTGAGAAAACACTTTTTGTATTCTTACAGTACCTCATTTAACAACACCAAAAGTATTTAGAGTCACAATATTAATAGGCTTTGAGTGTGGAAAATAAAGCTTCCAAAATCGACATGAAGGACAACTGCATATCTACTTAGGGCCTCTAAATGTTGTCTAAGAGAGGAGCGATTTCAATTGTTTCCCCTAGTGGGAAGCTATGTTACCGTTATTTATTTGTTTGTCTTTTCCTTAAAAAAAAAAAAAAAGCTAAATTGAGTTTAAAAAAACCTGAGCCATAATTTAAATTTGGTGATTCAAACTCTGCCTGAAAACAATACGCAGCTGTTTCTATGGCTCAGAGGTTTATTAATTTGTTTTGGGGTTTTAGTACTTGGTTGTCACAGTACTTTCATTTATAGATCTACTTCTCATCTAGTTGTAAGGGAGATATACTAGCATTCCAGCTCACCCACACCCCAACCAGATCACACTAATGCCTTGATCTTGCAAACACTGGCATATGTGCTTAACTTTAAGCACATCATAGTTCCTGAAGTCAATGGGACTATTTACGTGCTTAAAGTTAAGCATATGCACTAGTGTTTCAGGATTGGGGCCTTAAACCTTTGGGAATTAGCTTCTCATCACAGTACTTTTTGGATTACATAGCACTTGCAAAGCTGGTGATACAATTCTTCCAGAGAAATACATAAAAATGAAATTAGTGGTTTCTAATTAGCAGAATGGATAATAAAAATGCTTTTTAATAAACTGTAGAGATACATTTAACCAACATTTCCTTAATAACTAAAACTGAAAAGCAACTGTTGCAAATATGCTAGTAGCTCCACCACCAACGTATAACTGATCCATGTGTAATATACTTCTGGGATGTTGTTATTAAGAACGCTGTAAGAAGCATAAGAACGAGAGGAGAGATTTTAGAGTAGTAAAGCAGAACTCTTAGGAAAAAGTACTTGGCATACTTTTCTCGAGACTTATTGGTTCTGTACATTGCACCAACCTGGAAATTTGACATAGTATTATCCTCACAAAGCAAGTTCTGAAATTCTAAACTGAAGAGTTACCTTTTTCATTATTTCATCTCGCGTAGTAAACTGTGGTGCACCTTCAACTTCAATCCCCTCAGCCATTTCTGTTACCTTGTCTAAAAGGTCTTTGCTGTAACTATAATAAAGATAAATGCCTGTGAAAAATTACCAATCCCACATTAAGAAACTGCAGTGCACTGTATTATAAAACTAACCCTCAAATGTCTCAGTATGGCAAGGACGTCTGTTCAGATCAGTTATAAAGCTGATTGAAATGTGCATCTCTCAAGCTGTGTGGATCGATCAAAATTTAAATACATATAGTTTTTGTGCACAGGTGTTGCATACTAGTTCTGCAGCAGCACAGTGTTGAAACCAAAGTTATACAACTTAATAACATAACCTCTTGCACACTTACACAGACACAGCAATGCTGGTCATGGTTTTTAGACCAAAAGTTTTCCCTGCAGTTTTAGCTCAAGATATAACTCAAGCATTGCCTCTAACCAAACTCCTGTCCACACACTCAAGTCTCCAGCTCACGTTAAGGAGTGCTTTCAACTTGTGGATGCATACTGAAGCTTGGATCCTACTAACACGGGAGCTCATAATGCAGTGCTGACTCAGCTGTGTGCTAATCCAGTCACTCCGTGCTGCAATGTGTTGTTTTGCAATGTGATGCTCTCACTGGAGCTAGACTAACCCGAGAGGCATTAACTCAATTTAACACTACAAGGGCCACTAAAAAAAACCTGTAGGGTTTTTTTTCTTGGAGGCAACTAATGCGCATGAGCGATTCCGAGGTAAACACACACTGAAGGCACAAGGTGCTTTAGTTCTACAGCAAGATAAACTCTCCCTCGTCTGGGGCTGATCTCAGCAAGTTTGCCTTGATGTGGTAAAACTGAAGTGCCTTCGTGCTGTCTTCAGTGGGCGTTTCCCTGGGGGTTGCTCACACACGTTAGTTACCCCCCCCCGCCCACCCCTTCTGGGCAGCGAAGGGGTGCTCGGAGATGTTCAGACCCAGGAGGCGCGTTGATGGCTGGAGAAGGGAGTGTGCAGGGGTCTCTCCTTGTCCTTCCCCTATAGGGGAGGCAGGATGGAGCAGCTAACCTCTCCCAAGGACTCTCCACCTGAGCCCGGGAGTGGGTTCAGGGGGGTGTTTCTGCCAGCAGGGAGAGCTGGTTGCCCTTGGAAGGGGGGAGCGGAACCTGCCTCCAGCTCTCTACCGGTTCGGGATGGGTCACTCTCACTAGCCCTGCACCTGCGGCCGGGGCGGGGTCACTGCCCCCCCTCCCAAACCCCCCACTTGGGGCGGGGTCAGCGGCCCGCACCTGCAGCCCAGGAAGAGGTGGTTGGCCCACACCATGGAGAGCGAGAGCAGGTGGTCGATGCGGCCGGCGGGCCAGGGCGCTTCCCCCGCCCAGTCCGGGGGCAGGTTCCGCAGGATGAACTCGCGGCGGGCCTGCCAGTGCCTCTCGTTCTCCGAGTAGGAGCGGAACCGCTCGGGAACCTCGGCCTCTTCCACCTCCCCCACCATCCCGGCTACCACTGACCCACAATGCAGCGCGCGCCGGAAGCGGCTACCACCGACCTCCGGAAGCGTCAGGCTAGAGCGGCCCCCGAGCAATTCCGCTCTGACTTGCGCACTCGACTGCGCTGGAAGACCTCGGCGCGGGTGGCTGATTTCCTGCGACCGCCTCTGAGCAGCGCCCCCCCCTCACCCACGAGCCCCGTTGCTGAGAGGCCCCCTTGAGCTGGGGGTGGGGTTACCCAGAAGCCAGGGCTAGGTTACTCCAGACGCTATACGCGGGCCCCCACCCCCGGGCCTGGCTTCCCCCAGCGCGGGCCGGAGCCCTGCGTCTCAGCAGACCCTGAGCCGGGGGAGCCAGGTCCGCTAGTGGAAACTGGCAGGTCGGTGGCCGCTGCCCAGGCAGTGCCAGGAGCCGGGGGAGCGGGAAGGCCCGGCCCGGGCCCCCCGCGTGGAGTCAGGCGCCGGGCTGGGGCCTACGCAATCACTGGGCAGTCTGCTTCCCTGCTGGGGGCTCGGCAGTGAAACCAAAGAGCCCGACCCTGCTCTCCCGTCCTCTGGTTTGACACCTGTACCTTCACTAAAGTCAGGGCAGGACTCCTGGTTTACGCCAGTGTGAAAGAATCAGGCCCAAAGATTAACAATAAATGGTCAGATTTCAGGGCGGAAATAGATTAATAATCAGATGCCTTCAGGAATCCTGCTAGAGCTTGCATTAAAAGCTAATTACCCCTTCAGGAGTCACCCCTCAGGTCAAGTTTGCAGGTCACACACAATTATTTAAGGGAGGGATAGCTTAGTGGTTTGAGCATTGGCCTGCTAAAAAACGCAGGGTTGTGAGTTCAACCCTTGAGGGGGCTGTTTCGGGATGTGGGCCAAAAATTGGGGATTGGTCCTGCTTTGAGCAGGGGGCTGGACTTGATTGCTCTCCTGAGGTCCCTTCCAACCCTGATATTCTATGAAATCAGTGGTTCTCAACCACTTTACCATTGTGAGCCACGTATGCAGTTCTCTATGTGTTATGTGGGTCATATCCACACACTATACATATATATTCACACACTACCTATTGGCCCTGAGGATGTCACATGGACTGCAGCCGTGGGCTACTAGCGGCAGGCTAAGAACCACTGCTTCAAACTCAAAAATACTGTGAAGAATGTCAAGGCCCTAATAAAGCTAGGAGATTAGATGACATGGTGGCATATGAAATTCACTGGGGGCAAGTGCCTGGTGTGATGTATGTTGGGTGTTTCAATTTGAACTATTTATACATATTGCTGGGTTCTGCATTAATTACTCAAGAAAAAAGCCTGTGTGTCACCATGCTTAGCTCATTAAAATGTTAAGTAGCGATCAAAAAGGGATGGATAATTATGGAAAATATTCTAACGACAATGTAAATTGATGGTGTGCTCTCATCTTGAGTGTTGTGTACGGTTCTAGACTCTTCATTTTAAAAAAATACATAGAAGTGGTCTAGAGAAGGGCAATACAAATTATTAGAGGTTTGGAAAGTCTTTCAAAGGAGAAGCAATGGAAAAGGACTATTCAGTTAAGGGAGCAGATTAATGGGAGGTGACATGATAGTCTATAGAGGTATATAAAACAATGAATGGTATAGAGAAAGTAAACTGTGTGTTTTTAATTTACCCTCTTATAATACAAGATCAAGGGGACGTCCACTGAAATTAAAAGGCAAACAATTGTAAACAATAAAAAAAATTACAGTAAATAGAGATGCCTTAAAATAGTCTATAGAAAGAAGACGCTTGTCTGGTCTTCTTTAAAGTAATACTGATGCTGGATTCTTTTTGCATTTACAAAAAATGAATGTAGCGAGTCAGAATGTAATAAACCACAATGGAATTTTGCTAGTATTAAGAGAAGTTAGTAATCAAGATAGACTTTGATTTTATATCTTCTCTGGGATATTGGTTCATTAATAATAAAGAAGTTCATAATACCTTTCCTTTCCATAGACTTCCATATAAAAGTCTGAAATCAGTTTAAAACATTATTAAATTAATCCTCCCAGTATTCCTGTCATGTAAGTAAGTGGTGGTAGGCCTATTTTACAGATGGGGAAGCTGAGTTTGAAGGGCTTGTTCAAGATCAGAGAGGAAGTCTGTAGTGGATCTGTGAATGCAAATCCAAATCTGTAAATATCTCCTGCCTCTCAATCTTGGGCTTTGACCGTAAAATCATCTTTCCTCCCAGATTCAGTTCAGAATTTAGTCATAGGAAGAAGTATCAGATATTGAACCACCAACACTCTTGCTCTTGGTTCCCTAGAAATCTTTCATCCGAATGCCGACCTGACCAAAACTTAAGTCCTGATGCTGCAGACACAGACGTGCTTAACTTTACTACTGTGAGCAGTCCCACTATTATTTCTCACAGTCCCCACTGGGACTACTAGTAAAGTTAAACATGTGCATAAGTATTTGCAAGATCAAGGCCTTAGGCAGTGGGATGTAATGAAATCAGTTTGAGATGGCATATCCATAGCTTCTTGTGGGAGTGGGGAGGTTTTGGAATAATAGTGAGTTCAATGTGTCAAACAAACAAATCTTTAGATATTTGGCAATTAGAAGCTCCCTAAAAAAATTGACTGATCCATCAGAATGATACTTAGATAATCTGGTGATGGGCATCATACAAATGCCTACTAGATAGGATTAGATACATAGATTTTAAAATATTTTTGCATTGAGCCTGTTGTAATGAAAGCTACTGAGGGCCAGAGAGTGTAGTTCTTGACAAGTTTCCAGTAAGAGGCAGCATAACCCTCTCATGACTGTTCCACTGTGGATTCAATACTTAAATTGTTATTGAATTGGTTAGGGCACCTGCCTGGAGGTGGGAGACCCTGGTGCAGTTCCCCTGCTCCAATCACTCATTTGTCCACCGTGGCTAGCTTCAATAAGAGAGTTTGAGGAATACACATCAGCATATTCTGTAACTCAGTGCTTAGAGCACTTTCCTGAGATGTGGGAGGGCCCTGTTCAAATCCTTTCCCCCTCTCAGGCAGAGGGGGTAACTGAATGTGAGTCTCCCACATCCCAGATGAGTGCTCTAACCACTGGGGTAAACGTTATAAGGTGGGCATTCGGACCACCATCTTTTCATCCTCCATCAGCTGGGTTTTGAATGGGACCCAATCTGGTAGGCAGCCTACTGGATTGCGCCTCACACTCAACGAATGCCTACTTTCTTGTGGTTTGTGAATTGCTCTGGGGAATAGGTGGCATATATGAGTTTGGAAGCCCACTGGGAGGCAACAGTGCATGTGCTTCTTTCTAGGCATAGGGGCCAAGGGAACTTTTACCCTGAAAACTTAGGTGCCAAGTGAGGTAGGCACCTCCAGGGTTTGACAGGAATTTTGTGGTTTGCAGTGGAGCCTAAAGCTGGGACTTAGGCACCTATGTCTCAAGTTTAGGCACCTAAATACCTTTATGAATCCCACCGTAAACTCCACAACACTTTGACTTTTTAAACAAAAATAATGTTGTAGGAGGAAAAGAAGGAAGGAGCTAGACTCAGAAATAGGCAAGAATTAAATAAAAGGCCTTATTCCTAAACATTCCCACTTCTCAAATTATTGTATATGTAAAGGACAGAGTAGTTCTTTTTAAAACAGAATATATGCTGCACTATGAAGTTCAGTCTGACTTCTCTTAGTGATGATGTGTACTGGAGGTTTGGGGAAGGCTCTTAGAGCTGGATGTTATGGAATTTTGAAAAGCTCTAGCAAGTTTGGATACAAGTATTCAAGATGACATTCAAACTTTGGACTATTCCTCCCTTGCCCCCCAGTGTTCCTCTTGCACCTTGAGTCTCTGTCAAATCACAGTTATCATGAGCAGAGAACACACAATCCCCCCCCGCCCCCCGCAACTTTAGATTATCTGTCATAACAGCTGTAATTAACATCAAAAGGTTATGGAAATTGCTATATTCTCCTGAGATTTTCCATCATTCTTCTGTTTCTGCAGTACTAATAAAGATTTTAAAACAGGCTATTTCTGTGTTTGAACTATCCTGCCAATGATAATTAATATTCCAGTTCCCCATGTCTGCGTCAATCTGTTATTTATATTTGTGATAGTATGGCATTTCTAAGTTAGATTCTGTGAAAGCTCTATCCTGTTTCAAAGTAAGAATAAGACGCTTAAAAATAAATTATGCTCTTTTGTGTCCCAAATGGGGCAAATTGTGCCTTTTCTCTTCTGACCTGGTCGCTCTTCCAAAGTATGCAGCATGCTTTTTGTTGGCCAGTGAGAAGACCAGTAAAATAAATAAAATACTTTTGTCAATTGCAGCATGGAATTTTACAATCTGGAATTTGATGATGTATAATGAATTATTCCTGCCTATAAACACAGCAATGTCAAGAAGAGCTGTTGAATACAGGAGTTGTTGGGCTGGTGGGGCGCTTGATTGGAATTCAGGATACCTGGGTTCTAATCCTGATGCTGCCACTAACTTCTGTGATCTTGGGCAAGTCACCTAACTGCTTCATGCCTCATTTTCCCCATCTGTAAAATGGAGTAACGAATCTTAAACTCATGATGTTAAAGGGGTGTTAACTGTGTCTTGTCCAGCTTGAGTAATTGTGACAACTACCGTCTTGGATGACACACTGGGGACCGATAGAGCTAAAAGCATGAACTATAGCTTGAGCTAAAGTGCTGTAGCTGATGCTATAAAATGCTCCTATCCTTTGTGGATTGGGCACAGATGGGGACTTGTAAATATGCACAACAGTGAATTACACACTGCTTCCTCTGATTAAACTAAGCTCATCCTGAGCATCTGAATGGTTCAAATCTGATGTGATGTCTTCCAACTTGGTCAGTATGTCCACACAGCCATTCAAAAGTTCCATTAAGTGTTTTAGAAGCATTACATTAGGTAATTAATGTTTTATTGACTTAATATTTATTTTGTTTTCATTCAGATCTCATTGGGTGTGGAGAGAAGACCATAGGGTTGGGACTGTGGCTAGAGTTCAACCGTTCAAGCAGATGTCTGGCAAATGCTAAGTAT